GATAAGTTGACAAGGATATAGCTGCTTAAATGACTAATACTACTATATAACACTGTGGTACAGAAGAAGTTAAATTAGCAATTTTGGCAGAGTTGAGTAATATAACAACTCAGTCGTTAGTCCAGGTTCCAACATCACAGCAGAGGTTGTCCCATAACTGCTGCGTTCCTGTGCCAGTAGGAATTTCACAAAATATCCTTCACTGTGCAATTTGAAAACCAGCGAAAAACTTGTCAGTCCCAACAAAATCTTGAAGCTTGCACATGCAAAGTAAAAATGCCAAGGCAACTGTCAGATATGCCAACACTAACGGTCCCACACCAGAACTGCAGCTCACTGTTGGCACCAATGGTCAATCATAAAAGCCGGCAAAGAGTTCAGAGATGTCTATAACTGCACTTAAAACCAACAGATACACGGTGAGTTGTTTGAAAATGAAAGTGTTAATTTGATATTTTTCTCATAAACTGTATGAAAAATGCAGGTGTGTCTTTATTATAGTCCATAATATACGGTAATTAGTAGAACATAAACCGACTATCATGAACAGTGGATAGTTAATAAGAATAGTAACAAATTCAAATTATAATTGAGATGTATAGTGTATTTACAACTGCTACTGTTGCTACTGCTGCTGCTGCTACTACTACTACATGTGACAGCATTTTTTTAGGATGGGTTTATTCTGGTCTTATACCTGTTTCCAAACAAAAGCAGCTCAACATATGTGTACTGGTTAGTTCAAAAACAATACACTATAATAATACTCTCTTTCTGCAGACAGTTGTAACATGAACTCATTATATCTGCACTGTCAGCTTAGTTTTTTTTCTCTCAATCACAGCAATGTTTTTTAAACTAACAACTCAAATATTGGTTGCTTTAACCTTGTTGTCCTGAGAAGGTGCAAACTGACACTTCCGACTGGGGCCAATTCCCCGTAAATGTCAGTTTTCTTACTTGTCTATAGTGACATGTTTATGAGATGTATAGTTAATGTGTGAACATTTATTAACTAAAAATAGCATTGGGGAAGGGTGGAAATGGGGGTTTGGGGTGGGGGAGGGAGGGGTGGGGGGACTTCAGGCCATATAGGTTTTCTGAAAGCCAGTTTGACGTCAAATTTTCCAGTAATCCCCAGTGACAGAAGTCATGAAGTAACTGTGAATCACTCAATACAAGTATTTTTTAGGCTCTGGGGAACAATTTATATTTAATGTTTCACTCTGTTTATATTAAATGCTTAACCTCTCTCTCTCTCTCTCTCTCTCTCTCTCTCTCTCTCTCTCTCTCTCTCTCTCTATATATATATATATATATATATATCTTTATATACTTCAAGAAAACCTAAATGTAAAAAGTTTTTTTTTTTTTAAACCAAAAAACCTAAAATGTTTATTTTTAAATGATTTTCTCTGAGAACTTCCATAGGGTCATGACCCACTTTTTTACCATTACCGGGGTGAAAGGGTTGGGTTAGACAATTTCTAGATAGAAAGAATTAAGAGTACTTACTGACTGGTAAAGAAAGAGTAAAAGTAGTCAAGGACACTTTTTATTCCAGTGGCATAAATATACATTCAACTCTTGAAAGGTGACATGATATACATCCCGCTGGCCACCTTTACTTTCCAAGACATTACCTTCAGGCAGGGTTGACATAAAAGCCAGGGTCATTTTATAAATGCAGATTTGACACAATGCAGATCTGAACCCAAGATCCTCAGACCGACATTCAAAGATCTAGGCACATGCTACCATGGTTCCCAAATTGTACATATTCTTACTCTACCATGGTTCCCAAATTGTACATATTCTTACTCTACCATGGTTCCCAAATTGTACATATTCTTACTCTACCATGGTTCCCAAATTGTACATATTCTTACTCTACCATGGTTCCCAAATTGTACATATTCTTACTCTACCATGGTTCCCAAATTGTACATATTCTTACTCTACCATGGTTCCCAAATTGTACATATTCTTACTATCTATTTGAATACTTACAACTCTTCACTGAGTGACCTATAGTACTGTACTGAACTTACGAACTGATAAAAAATTATACGAATGTATTAAGGAAGTATATGGTTTTTTACAATGACATATTTTCAGACCGTCATTGGAGGGCATGCAGGAATGTTAAAATTAGGAATAACTGTTCTGCTGGGTCACTGTGTACATAATTTGTACTTTATCTGGTCATGGATTACTAAGGTAATGGGCAGCAATAAGAGAAAGGGAGTTGGTCCAGTGGGAGAAAATCACTTACCCCTAACTCAATTTCAGAAGAACGATGCTGAGAGCTTTCAGCTTTCTCATGTGTAACATGAGCCTAACATTAGTGGAAAATATGGATTCACACAATGAACAGATGGAGAAGTGTGGGAGAAGCAGCAGCTGTGGCAACTGCCAAATGCAATATGTTACTAGTAAAACATGTCCTACAGTTCATTGTGAGGGCACTAAGACTGTGCAAAACCTCTTTATCCTAATCTTTATATGAGTAAAAAAAAAAAATCATTATTGTATATGTACCTTTGCTGGTACCTCTGGGAGAAATGTAGACAATTTATAATACACACACACATATATATATGTATGTGTGTGTGTATGTGTGTGCGTGCTGGTGTGTAGGAGGATGGAAAAGGAGGAGGGGGGGGGGGCGAGGAAGAAAGAAGAATTTGTAATGAGACAAAAAGAGACACAATTTGTGATGATAATTAACAACAAAAACAAGAAAGAGAAATCGTAATGAGAAAAAAAAAAAAGGGGGGGGGGGGGACTGTAATGAGAAAATAGTAGAAAGGAGACAACATGTAACAGAAAAATAATAGAAATAACTAAAAGGTGAAAAATATAGAGTCAATCTGTAATGAGGAAACAGTACAGAGAGGCAACTGTGTTAAATGTCACAAACATAATATATGCAAAATTGTTTACAGGAGCCTTGAATGCCACAAACATAATATATGCATCATTGTTTGCTTGAGTCCTGAATGCCACAAACATAATATATGCAACATTTTTTGCTGGAGTCAAAAGAATTCTAAAGGACACGACTAACTGAACTTCAATAAGACAACAGTTTGACTTGTTACTCCTAAAAAGTTGCAAGGAAGAGTAAATAATATATCAGAAGAACAAAAATAATATATCAATATCACAAAGCAGAATTTAATTAAAATCACTAACTACAAAGTTGTAAAAATAATTAGAGGAGTAAAGATATATAGCACTTGGAGAAAATAACATCTAAAAAAAATAAGTCTTGAATATATATTACATATCAAAAGAAATATTTCTATAGAAAAAATTGATTAGTGCAAAGCAAATTATAATGTAATTCACTCAATCACAAGCTGTAAATATCGATAAGACTATGCTAAAGTTATTGAAGTGCAGTTCTAGAAATTTTCACACAAGAGCATTTTCACAGCTGTTATTTGTCACTTTGCAATATGCCAAAGACACACATATGAATTCCTACTCCAAAAAGGTCAAAAAGCAGTAATACTTTTGTCATTACACAATTTGTAATTGGTTTTCTTTTTCCAGAGATCTCAAAGTTCAAACACGATTTTTCTCAAGACAAAGATTTAGCACTTAGATGACTCTATGGTAGTGCCAATTATATTCTTGTTGATGAAGATGGAAAAAGGTACTCCCACAGTAGATCCGACAACTGGGGTGTGAAGTGTCGTGATTTCATACACTCTAGGCATAACATATGAGGTGGGATAGTGAGTTCTCTTCCTCATGGCTTTTCCTCCTAACATAATTCGCCAAAACTTCTGGAAATTGGAACCCACTGATATGTGGATGTCAAACATTGTTTGTTGTTGTTGATTTTGTTAGTTGGTGTTTTTGTGGGTTGTTGTTACTGCGGTTACTGGTTGTTGTTGATAGATGGTGTTTGTTGTTGGTTGTTGTCATATTGGTAGTGGTGGTAGTGATGGTAGTAGGAGGAGCAACAGTAGTAGAGGAAGAAAAGGAAGAAGAAGAAGATGAACAAAACAATCCTATTGTATCAACTAAAATTATAATTGTAACACAATAATCTAACAGAAGAAACCATTGACTGAGGGGAAAATATTACAAAAAAGAAATCTACAAGCTCCAATTAAATTATTGATTATAAAGATATCACAACCGCATATTTTCTCCCACATACATAAAACAGCACACAGTTCTTGAATACAGCAACACAGCAAAAATATACACAGTTTAAATAAGAACATTTGTTAAAAGAAGTAGGAAATTACAAAAAACACAAATAATGTTAATATAACAGAATGTCTATAAAACAATGGTTAATTATATTCTCCGAATATAGAAACATACAGCTAGTGAATAAAAATCTAATACATACTGAGCAGAACGAAAGAAAATAATAAAGCAAACCCAAACCAAGTTCTGGACGGTGACTGAAAAATTGCAAGCAATAATCACAATAGGAAATACAGATCAGTAGATTTCTAAAAAAAAAAAAAAAATATTTAGAGTAATAACAAGCTGCTGGTTGTTTGATCCTTTCTGATTATAAAATATATAAGGAAAAAAATTCGACTTCCCCCCCCCCCCCCCAAATATCATAAAGAAGCAAAGTAATTTATTTAGTTTTTTTTGTTTAAATATCCAGAAACCATGAGTTGTTAATCCAGAATATTTCCCCTGGTACTAATGTCAGGCTAGGTTAACATGAGAGCTCAGGTCATTTATAAAGAATCTATCTTAATGCGGATGTGAAACTATGACCTTCACTGAATCCACAGGTGAGCAAGCTAATGCAGCATGAGGACTAGAGACAGAGAGCTAGAGAAGCAGATGCTAAATATGCTGAGGAACACAGGGTGAGCTTTATACAGAGGTAAGGATAGGATGATTTAGTGTGAGCTGGTTGGGAATCTATGCTCCACTGGAAATATAAACAGTTAAAAAAAAAAAAAAAAAAACAATAGATAGAGAATAAACAGGAGAAGAAGAAAGCCAGTTAGATGTCAGAAATAAATGACCCTGGCTCCCAGGTGGACTCAGTCTTGAGTGGGTTTAGTTACTTCTATCATATAGTGAGCAGGTTTAGTTACTTCTATCATATAGTGAGCAGGTTTAGTTACTTCTATCATATAGTGAGCAGGTTTAGTTACTTCTATCATATAGTAAGCAGGTTTAGTTACTTCTATCATATAGTGAGCAGGTGGAGTTACTTTTATCATATAGTGAGCAGGTGGAGTTACTTCTATCATATAGTGAGCAGGTTTAGTTACTTCTATCATATAGTGAGCAGGTGGAGTTACTTCTATCATATAGTGAGCAGGTGGAGTTACTTCTATCATATAGTGAGCAGGTGGAGTTACTTCTATCATACAGTGAGCAGGTGGAGTTACTTCTATCATATATTGAGCAGGTTTAGTTACTTCTATCATATAGTGAGCAGGTTTAGTTACTTCTATCATATAGTGAGCAGGTTTAGTTACTTCTATCATATAGTGAGCAGGTGGAGTTACTTCTATCATATAGTGAGCCGGTGGAGTTACTTCTATCATATAGTGAGCAGGTTTAGTTACTTCTATCATATAGTGAGCAGGTGGAGTTACTTCTATCATATAGTGAGCAGGTGGAGTTACTTCTATCATATAGTGAGCAGGTTTAGTTACTTCTATCATATAGTGAGCAGGTGGAGTTACTTCTATCATATAGTGAGCAGGTGGAGTTACTTCTATCATATAGTGAGCAGGTGGAGTTACTTCTATCATATAGTGAGCAGGTGGAGTTACTTCTATCATATAGTGAGCAGGTGGAGTTACTTCTATCATATAGTGAGCAGGTGGAGTTACTTCTATCATATAGTGAGCAGGTGGAGTTACTTCTATCATATAGTGAGCAGGTGGAGTTACTTCTATCATATAGTGAGCAGGTTTAGTTACTTCTATCATATAGTGAGCAGGTGAAGTTACTTCTATCATATAGTGAGCAGGTGGAGTTACTTCTATCATATAGTGAGCAGGTGGAGTTACTTCTGTCATATAGTGAGCAGGTGGAGTTACTTCTATCATTTAGTGAGCAGGTGGAGTTATTTCTATCATATAGTGAGCAGGTGGAGTTACTTCTATCATATAGTGAGCAGGTGGAGTTACTTCTATCATATAGTGAGCAGGTTTAGTTACTTCTACCATATAGTGAGCAGGTTTAGTTACTTCTATCATATAGTGAGCAGGTTTAGTTACTTCTATCATATAGTGAGCAGGTGGAGTTACTTCTATCATATAGTGAGCAGGTGGAGTTACTTCTATCATATAGTGAGCAGGTTTAGTTACTTCTATCATATAGTGAGAAGGTGGAGTTACTTCTATCATATAGTGAGCAGGTGGAGTTACTTCTATCATATAGTGAGCAGGTTTAGTTACTTCTATCATATAGTGAGCAGGTGGAGTTACTTCTATCATATAGTGAGCAGGTGGAGTTACTTCTATCATATAGTGAGCAGGTTTAGTTACTTCTATCATATAGTGAGCAGGTGGAGTTACTTCTATCATATAGTGAGCAGGTGGAGTTACTTCTATCATATAGTGAGCAGGTGGAGTTACTTCTATCATATAGTGAGCAGGTGGAGTTACTTCTATCATATAGTGAGCAGGTGGAGTTACTTCTATCATATAGTGAGCAGGTGGAGTTACTTCTATCATATAGTGAGCAGGTGGAGTTACTTCTATCATATAGTGAGCAGGTGGAGTTACTTCTATCATATAGTGAGCAGGTTTAGTTACTTCTATCATATAGTGAGCAGGTGAAGTTACTTCTATCATATAGTGAGCAGGTGGAGTTACTTCTATCATATAGTGAGCAGGTGGAGTTACTTCTGTCATATAGTGAGCAGGTGGAGTTACTTCTATCATTTAGTGAGCAGGTGGAGTTATTTCTATCATATAGTGAGCAGGTGGAGTTACTTCTATCATATAGTGAGCAGGTGGAGTTACTTCTATCATATAGTGAGCAGGTTTAGTTACTTCTACCATATAGTGAGCAGGTTTAGTTACTTCTATCATATAGTGAGCAGGTTTAGTTACTTCTATCATATAGTGAGCAGGTGGAGTTACTTCTATCATATAGTGAGCAGGTGGAGTTACTTCTATCATATAGTGAGCAGGTTTAGTTACTTCTATCATATAGTGAGCAGGTGGAGTTACTTCTATCATATAGTGAGCAGGTGGAGTTACTTCTATCATATAGTGAGCAGGTGGAGTTATTTCTATCATATAGTGAGCAGGTGGAGTTACTTCTATCATATAATGAGCAGGTGGAGTTACTTCTATCATATAGTGAGCAGGTTTAGTTACTTCTACCATATAGTGAGCAGGTTTAGTTACGTCTATCATATAGTGAGCAGGTTTAGTTACTACTATCATACAGTGAGCAGGTTTAGTTACTTCTATCATATAGTGAGCAGGTTGAGTTACTTCTATCATATAGTGAGCAGGTTGAGTTACTTTTATCATATAGTGAGCAGGTGGAGTTACTTCTATCATATAGTGAGCAGGTGGAGTTACTTCTATCATATAGTGAGCAGGTTGAGTAACTTCTATCAAATAGTGATCAGGTTGAGTTACTTCTATCCTATAGGAGCAGGTTTAGTTATTTATATCATATAGTGAGCAGGTTTAGTTACTTCTATCATACAGTGAGCAGGTTTAGTTACTACAATCATACAGTGAGCAGGTTTAGTTACTTCTATCATATAGTGAGCAGGTTGAGTTACTTCTATCATATAGTGAGCAGGTTGAGTTACTTTTATCATATAGTGAGCAGGTGGAGTTACTTCTATCATATAGTGAGCAGGTTGAGTAACTTCTATCAAATAGTGATCAGGTTGAGTTACTTCTATCCTATAGGAGCAGGTTTAGTTATTTATATCATATAGTGAGCAGGTTTAGTTACTTCTATCATACAGTGAGCAGGTTTAGTTACTACAATCATACAGTGAGCAGGTTTAGTTACTTCTATCATATAGTGCTCTGTTTTAACTTATTGCCACTCTTCTTCTTTAAATTTAAATTTTTCAGGGATAGAAAGAGTTAAATTAACTATTAACTGGTACTGACAGAGTTAATTAATGACAATCAAAGTTGCCATGAGCACAACAGAAAAGCAGCGTGTCAATTTACAAGCAAAATTTGTGCTTTTGTTTAAAAAGTCTTCCACAGTCAATCATTTAATATCTAACAAATCAGCCAATCAGTATCTAACAAAATCAATCACAGCGTACTAAAATCAATCAATAAATATCTCCCCAAAATTGATTTCTTAGTGTGGATTGTATGCTGCAGATAGAAAGCATAGGTAAGTGGATGAGTGACTCAGGGAACGACATGGAAAACAGGAAATCATATGGAACACAGGGAATCATATGGAAAACAGGGATCCATTTGAAAAAATACGGAATCACACAGAAGATAAGGAATCACTCGGAAAATGGGGAGCCACATGGAAAACATGGAGTATCTGATAAACAGAGAATCACATGTAAATTAAAGAACTGCACAGAAAAATTATGATTCACATGGAAAACAGGGGGCTACACACAGAGAAGAACCCAATGGTTTCAATAAGGGAAAGAACATGTAACATTTTATTTTGTAAATAAAATTACATGATTTTATTTTTCAAATTTCTATAGTCTGTTTATTATAAGCCACGGCCAACTTCAGATATAAGGCCATGCAGCTGAAACGGAAATTCCCGTTTTTTGAGGCTGGCGTGGCTGGTCTGTGTAACAATTGTTATCGAGTAGATTTATACACATATTGAACTACAGTTTAATTAATTTGCAACATGTTTTATTGAATGAATTATCATTTTGAAGATAAATATTTTCTAATAGCCCATTTTTTTAATAGCCCATTTTTTTATCTTGTTAAATGTGGCAAAATTTATATAAATTACGCTTCCCACAAGTGTTTGCTTCAGCCACGGTAATGCAGTGGCTAGAAACTTAAGTGAAGACCCAAAGGAAATGTGTTCGAATCTGTATCAATGCAGATTTTCATAACTGACCTAGGGCTCCCAGGTCGACTAAGCCTAAAATGGGTAACAGGAAATGTCCTGGGAAGTAAAAGTGGCTGCCATGATGGCCAGCGAGTGTAGTTAATGATTGCAATATAATGCTGTTATTAACAACCTGTACTACAAATGATGAGAGAGAATCACGAGCTCTGAAAGCGAGGCTTGGAAAAGATCACTTTCAAGCTAACTGACATTTCTGTGAGTTCTAACCCTATATACAGGGCAGAAACCTTGTAAGGGTTATTTAACTCACTTTTTTACTAGTGTCTGCATCCATATTTCATGTAATGTGCAGTTAAAGCACATAATGTGTTATTAACTGACATCAATCATTAAGCTGAGGCTTGTAAAAGATCACTTTCAAGGCTAACGGACATTTCTGTGAGTTCTAACCCTATAATACAGGGCAGAAACCTTGTAAGGGTTATTTAACTCACTTTTTTACTAGTGTCTGCATCCATATTTCATGTAATGTGCAGTTAAAGCACATAATGTGTTATTAACTGACATCAATCATTAAGCTGAGGCTTGTAAAAGATCACTTTCAGATATATTAACTAACTACACCATAAGTGATGAGAGACTGCAAGAACAACATGTTAAAAGGGAGGTGGCCAGACAAGAGCACTATGCAGGAAGCCAAAGAAGAATAAGAAACCAACACAGAATTGGTGTCGTGAGCCCCTACACGCTGCAGGATTTACCAAGGAGGGGATTCGAGCACTTATGGACTGAATGGTTCAATGTGCAATGAGGATAATCTGCCGACTAACTAACTAAGTGATGAGAAAAAACCATGCGGTCTGCATGTAAAAGATCGCTTCCAAGGTAAATGGACAATTATGTAACTGGTCACTCTACTGCACGGTGCAGAAACGTGAACAATAAATAGTCAATTAGAAAGCTGAAATGAGGACCTGGAAAATAAAGGGGATGTTGTTGGCTGCAACACACATGTAATAATTCCAAAGAAAAGATGGTCCAAAAAACATCTTCAGGCTCCCGAAAGATCACTTTTGAGGCAAGTTTATAAAATATATCTAGGTATCAGTTTAAAAAAAAAAATAACTGCCTACTATATGGGGTTTAAAAAAAAAAAACAGTGAATTAGCAATCAGAAAACTGAATAAAGGCCTGGGAGATGTGTCAAAATAAAACACAACAGATCTTGTAATTACGGATGATAACAGAAGTGAGATAAAATTCCAAAAGAAAAGACATGTTCAACAACATTAAAAAAAATTAAGTGACATCCAGGCAGACAGTAGTTTAAAAAAAGAAATGTCAAATGCTATGTATAGTCAACCATACTAAACAGGGTAAACACCTAACAATAAACCAGAATAAAACAGTTCACATGAGACTGGAGTTGTGGATTTTTCGAAAAATAGGTCATATTTCATGGAGATAAAAAAACCAATCAAATAATGATGGACAAAGAGGAAAAAAAATAATGACATCCAGAAAGATCTGAATTTCAAGAAGACTGGCTAGTAAACAGCATCTTGTCTTGGAAACTAAAATATTTTGGCGTTATCAAGGGCCATGGGAGATTAGAAAAAAAAATAACAGAAGGCATTGTACCAGAAAAGAGGGGCAGGGACCGACCAGCACGTAAATGGGCACAGGATATAAGTGACGTATTGGGTAGGAAGTGCATAAGGCGGGAGAGCTGGCGAAAGACCAAGTTTTTTTCAGACAGACTGTGATGAGAGTGATGTTCTGGAAAGGACCTAGGGTAACTAGAAAAGTTACATTTTAAAATAAACAAAATAAAACAAGACTAGGACTGAAATCTGTTTTACAATTAAAGAACTAAAGAAATAAATGAAACAGTGTGGCCTTACAAGAATGCCCCGATACTAAACTATTGCAGAAAGACCAAACATAGAGTAAGAGAAAAGAAAGCGCAACACATGGAATGGACATTAGAAAGAGAACAATGAGTATCCTTAAATTTCCTCCTAACACTTCAATGAGATCACTGCAGGAAGAGAAATAAGAACAGATAAACCTGAAGTCTAGACTACTTCTAAAAGTAACCATTACAAATCATACATTTATTTAAAAAAGCACAGGCACTAAAGTGGCCTGTGTTGTCTGCACTTGCGTCTCTCATAACTTGGTGTACAAGCAGCTATCTGTGTATAGAGATACTGCCATTAACATGCTTACCTCTGCGGGCATAATCTCATTGGACAGCAATGGGTCTGAGGAATGATAGACATCTCGCATCTGGAAGTAAGAAAACAAAATCAGCTTTAAAAAAAAATATTTTTAAAAATTCAACAATGTGATCACATTTTTAACTTTTGATACGCATATAATTCTCATAATACTAACTTAAATTGTAATTTTAGTTAAAAACAAAAATAACTGTATCATTTTATACTGCAACTACTCCCCGTATGAGTTCCATGATAGTTAACTGCCACTTAGCAAACAAGTCAATAATCTGTATCATAATTGTGGGTCATAAACTGTAAGGTCTCTTAGGTTTCCCCAAAGCTTAGTTGTCAGTTCCTGGGTATTGCCATATGTTCCGCATGCCATACCAGCACGAAGGCACTTTTTGGCCCATACCCACTTTATGTGAGTGTTTTTTGAGTCTGTAGTGTCCAGTGCAAAAACTGTGACTTGGTCTTAGTTCAAAAACAAGTCAATAAAGGATGGCTATTTAAAGATCTGCTGAAAACAGAGAGGTCAGTGAGGCAAAGATATTGCAGCCTAGCCGTAAACATAATGTACCAACTGCTCTTTCAAGACTGAACACAGAAGAAGAAGAAAAAGAAGAAGAAGAAGAATATAAACAGAATGAAATTATCCCACTCTGTTATCTAATATCATAATTACAACAAATTCAGCTCACTGTGACGTCTAATATCATACTTGCAATAAAATAATTTAACTTTAAAAATCACCAAGAAGCAGGTTAGTGCCCGAATGCAGGGTTAGATCCCAGCTGCAGGCGATTTGGCAGTAGACCGCCTTGCATTGGTTTCAATAGTGCTCCCAAAAGCTGATCGCTCAGAAAGCAATGGTAAACTAATGAATGTAAAATCTGCACAGAAAAAACACAACAGACAAAAAATGATTGGGTTGGTCCTGCAACGTCCTGTAAAGGATATGAAAGTTGAGCAAGAATTGACCTCACAGCACTCCAGGCATTCCCATGCATGCTCTGTCCTTATCTTCAGCAGCCATCACAGAATTCCAGTACTGATGGTACCAGTCACAGTCTGGTTATATGTCCGTCTTGCCTTTCCTCTGAGTGTAGTGAGCCGGCCAGACCCTCTGGTTACAGCCAGGTGCCTCATTCTCTCCAGGCCATTATAATCTTGTTTCTCTACTGATTCCGTTGCATGTCCCCAAAGGGCATGAACATGAGGATGCAACCAGGAGCTGCCAAACATGAGCACCCAATGTTCATCAGCTTGGACAGGGATACAGAATCATATATTTTGCCATTTCGGTCTTTGTGATAGGCATCATGCATGCCTGATGACACTGCTTTTGTCCAGCATCGGATCAGTCACAGCAACTGAAGCGTCTACCAGATAATCTGCAGACTCGTAGCGTCAAACACCTGACATAAAAATAAAGGTTAGAACAGTTTATGAATTTCATAAGAATAATGGTCAATAGAATGAATTTCTTACCCCAGCCTGGCGACGATTGCGTGTTACTATCAGAACCACTGGCTTGACAATCAGCAGCACAGGAATTGAAAGCACGGCCAACAAAAGCATAGTGATCTGTACCCCTTGCTGCACCAAAGCAAACAGAAAATTTTTTTTTTTTTTAAATAAAGATATTCCCATGGCAGGTACTGCTGTTGGGATGGAATATTATGTAGTAAAAGGCCTTTTACACACCTTCCAGTGTACTGGGCATATAGGGCTAGATATTATATTTTATAGACCAATCTGCACTTGGTGGATGATGAGGTCAGCATCACACCAGCTGCCTTTACTTCCCAGGACTTTACCTGGTACCCATTTAAGGCTGGGTCGACTGGCAGGTGGGGAAATTTTTTTTTAAAAGGTCACGCTCCGTCAGGGCCTGAAATCATGACCTTCTGATCCGTAGGCGAGCATCTAGTCACTATACCATAGTGGCTCCTGAATATTTCATGGCAAGGCCCCAATATCTTCTGCATAATGATTCTCATACTACTATCTGAAAACCATGAGAACTTTTTTGTTTGAAATACCACCCACTGCGGAAACTGAACCCTAGTACTTGAGAATCATGAAACTGTTTAAACATCTTTAACCTCTGAGCCACCGAGCTGTGATGTGTCAGGCTTTCACATATTCTAGGCCATGATATATCAGGTAGTGTGGCCAGTTCAATTCTTCATTTACTTTCATTTCCCGAGAATTTCCATAAAATTCTGGAAAGTCTAATACCTAATTTTTATTAGGTCAAGTTGACCCCAGACCTGTAAAAAAGAAATTACACAACCTTTTTCATGTCTTCTGGGGCATCAAACATATAGTGCTAGATCTATATTTTTCTAGAACTAGAAATTAGCACCGGATGGATGATGTGGTGAATATTACGCCTGCCTCCTTCGCTTCCCGAAACATTACACTGTAACCAATTTGGGCTGGGTGAACCATCTGCAGTGATGTTGGAACTCTAGACTAATGACTAACAATCTCTGCGAGCACGCATGCATGCACACACGCACGCACACACACACACACACAGCGATATATAAATATATATAAAATCAATAAACATGAACAGAATTAAGCATTAAATGGAATACATTCATCTAAAAACAATAACTATTTGGTGACTCATGTCGTGACTCTATGATCTGCATCACTGAGGCTTATGGGAAAATATGACATCAACCTGGCTTTATAAAAGCTATTGGGGTCAACAAGTTTACCCTCCCCCCCCCCCTCTCCATCCCATCTATTTTTGTTAACATATTTATATCCCAGTCTATTCAACACTTTGCAGGCACACACAGAACCAATGCTTTTTAAAAAAAAAACAGATCACTGCAAACATGGCTGATATATCAGTATTTACATGACTGTCACAATGGGAAGTGTCAGGATTTAGTCTTCTCAGGGCGACAAGGCTATGATAGAAATAAAGCTGCGATAGCGCAGTGTCTAGACGTTTACATGACAGCCTGAAAGTCTTGGATTTGAACTTACCTCATGGTAGATTTGTATAACGGACCTGGGTTTAGGACTCTTGTCCACCCCCCCCCCCCCACATGTGTACTGGGTATATAGTAAAAGTAAGTCAAGTAAAGGACTCTCTTTCACACCATCAGGCATATTGAGCTTAAAGTGCTGGACCTATATTTTAAATACAAATCGACATCCGTGGGTGTTGTAGTCAGCATTATGCCAGCCACCTTTACTTCCCAGGAATTTACCTGGCACCCCTTTCAGGCTGGCCTGATCTTGGGGTCAAAGCCTTAAACTGGTATAAAGTAATATCCTGGGAAGTAAAGATGGCTGACATGATACTGACCACATTATTTAAGGAGTGCAGACTGGTCTAAAACAATGGATCTAGCTGCATATATCCGATACACCAATGGTATGTAAAAGATCATTTACTTACTTTTTTTTTTAAGATTGAAGTGAAAATGACACTTACCTGACCCTTGTAAAAGATAGCTTGTGGGTCACATTCATTCGTATTATACTTCAACATGAACATATTGATGTAATCTGTGATCAAAGATTATAACACTTTACATGAACATTCTAGCAACAACAAAAAAAAAAGAAAATGAAACTTTACATCTCTTTATCCTTAACATGATCATTTAAACAAAAGAAAGAAAGAAAGAAAGAAAGAATATGAAACTATACCCCTCTTTATACATTAACATGAACATGTTGATGTAATCTGTCATGAAAGAATTGAAACCTTACTAGATTTTACACTTCACCATAAACATGTTGATGTAATCTATCATGAAAGAATATGAGACCTTACTAGATTTTACACTTCACCATAAACATGTTGATGTAATCTATCATGAAAGAATTTGAAAGCTTACTAGTTTTTACACTTTACCGTAAACATGTTGATGTAATCTATCATGAAAGAATTTGAAACCCTACTAGTTTTTACACTTTACCATAAATATGTTGATGTAATCTATCATGAAAGAATTTGAAACCTTACTAGTTTTTACACTTTACCATAAACATGTTGATGTAATCTATCATGAAAGAATTTGAAACCTTACTAGTTTTTACACTTTACCATAAACTTGTTGATGTAATCTATCATGAAAGAATATGAAACTTTACTCCTTTTCTTACATTACCGTGAACATGTTGATGTAATCTATCATGAAGAATTTGAAAGCTTACTAGTTTTTACACTTCCCCACAAACATTTTGGTGTATACTGTGAAGAAAGAATATGAAAACTTCCTCCTCTTTATACATTAACATTCCTTGTGTGGGCTCTGAGGCTCTGTTTTGAGCGGGGGTGGGGGGGGGGGGGCACTGTCATTAACAAGCATGTTATATATTGTGACTAATTAGGGCAGGGGTTCTCAACCTTCCGAAAGCCACAACCTTTTAATACAGTCCTTCATGTTGTGGCGACGCCCCAACCATACAATTATTTTCGTTGCTACTTCATAACTTTAATGACTATGTGTTTTGCAATGGTCTTTGGCGACCCCTATGATAGGGTTGTTTGACTAAAAAAAAAAGGGTTGTGACCCACAAGTTGAGAACCGATGAATCAGGGGGTTTGCTAAAATCAGATGTGTTGAACCAAAAGGCACATAAATTGCAGCTTAGCTGTAAACAATAGCAACAACACAATGTGCTAACTGCCCTTTTAAAGGATGAACTTTGAGGAAGAGGAAACTTTAACGTGAACATGTTTATGTAACCTTTGATCAAGGAATATGAAACTTTAATCCTCTTCATACTTCAAAGTGAACATATTGATATAATCTCTGATGAAGAAATATAAAAGTGAAACTGATTTTTGATATTGTCATTTCTGATCCTGTCTCTCATAGTTACATTTAGGATCATCACAGACACTTCCCTTCTGTTGTTTCGATTTTAATTTGGTTTAATTATTTTTTTTTTAATCGGTGAAATCGATGCTGGTTTTGACAGGGGTTTCTAAACAAACCTCAGTAAAAAAAAAGACCTATATATCTATATACTCTTCACATCACTTTCACACAAATAGCATTTACATGTGATCTCCATCAATGCTGGTCTGTTGCTTTTTTTTAACCTATGGTATCCCTTGTCATTTTACATTCCTTCATTTCCCTTTCTGCTGTCTTTCTCTAGGTTTCCTTGGGTTGTCCATATCTCCTCTGACAATCTGCTGCCAATCAGAAAGCTGACTTTGCCAAGTTTTTGTTTATGTTTATTAGATGGATCAACATTATGGCACAAGGGGTGTAACCCATAAATGCTCCGTTCTACTTCTAACTCAAGCCTTGTGTCTGAAGAATCTCAGCGCAGTGCACAAATTCTGTTGCACCGGTGAGGATCCTGAAATACTTTGGGTAGATTTTTAACTCAAAATTTTGCCCAGGCAGCGCCGTTAGGCTCCTTTTTTCTATTTCCAACTGCCAAGGGATTTTTTTACGTGCGCAAGAATACACATGGCATCCAATCTTACTACCCAGAGACCAGGGGAAATTACTAGACGTCCACAATAAAAAATCCCAGCCTTCACCAGGGATTGAACCCGGGACCTCCAGCACTTGAAGCGGACACCATATCTCGAGACCACTCAGCCCCTTTGTCAAGTGTCAGGAGGCATCCTGCAAACATGTCTAAGCTCCCACCATCTTCTTCCTTTGATAATGTTTACCAGTGATGAACATTTTGTTTTCCTCTTCAGTTATTCTACTGTGATTTTGTTTGGCCAAACAAAAACAACAACAAAAGAAACAAACAAACAAAGTAAAAGGTATCAAGATATATTAAAATGTTACATGTGGACAATAAAATGTAAAAGATAACTTACGGATAAGCAGCGACGGAGCACACTTGGAGCTGACAGCATCAAACATGATCCACTTATAGAAGACAAGAACGACCAAGTAGCCAAACAGGCAGCCCAAGAACAGAAGTTCAGGAATAAACTTCACAAAAATATCAATGTAATTCTTAAAATGGCTGTGGGATAAAAACAAAAAGTTTAAAAAGAAAGTAAGGTCATGTTACATGTCTAAAGAATGAAACAAAATAAAAATTAAAAAAAAAAACAATCAACTAAAAAAAAAAAAAGTAAGGTCATGTTATAGCAACAACGAAATTCATAATCTGTTTAAATCACCACTGATAACTGGCATCATGAGAGCTAATAAACTGAAATGGTTGGGGCATATTAAAAGAATGTCAGATGACAGAGAAGTAAAAAACTGTATACACAAGGGAGATGAATGGTCGTAGACCACAAAGCAGACCAATAAAACGATGGAGAGATAATATCCAGACAGACCTGCAAATATTTGGTGTCACCAACTGGAAAGAAAAAGCCAACCAGAGAGATGAATGGAGGCTGGTGATATCTGCAGCAATGAACCTCAAGGGCTCGGAATGCTGAAGAAGAAGGAGAAGAAGGTCATGTTACGATATATTCTTAACCGTTTTCTCATAAAAATACACTCATATTCGTGTCTCTGTTGGAAGAGAAGCACCTCGTCGACTGACTTCAAGAAGCAAGCAAAGAGAGCTAGAACAGCGACTAAATAATGATGAATTGGGTTCAATGTGCTTTTTTAAAACATTACATGCAAATTTTAGATAATGTTTTAATTTTTTTATATATATTAACTGAGTTTGTAACCACAATTTTTATAATGCTAAAGTAGAAAGTTTAACTATTCATCCCACAAAATTAAACATGCATAACTTTTAACTGTAATGTATATTCATTATTTTAAAAATAAAAACTCTGAGCCAACTGGTGAATTTTATCATGATGTTTTAAATCAGCATGATTAAATCAGCATGATAAAATCAATGAGAAATGGTGCATCTAAATTCTGATACAAATAACTTTTGAAAATTTGTTGACTAAAGAAAATCTTCCTCAATGAGGGTTTAAACTCAAAACCTTCAGGCTGGCACATGAGTATCTAGCCACTGCGTTACTGTGGATCATAATCACCTTTGTAGCTGCGTTCATATTCTTACTTCCTTTGTCATATTCATCTGTTAGATTACCTACTTTGTGTATCCTTTACAGGATATTGCAGAACCAACCCCAAAAGACCCTGGCTGTTGTGTGGTTTTTCTAGGCAAATTTATGTCCAGTAGTTTGCCACTGCTTTCTGGACAGTCAGCTTTCTTGATACCACTGTCGAAACCAACGCAAGGCGCATGGCCCGCAGCTGGGATCGAACCCGGCATCCCGGCATTACGAAGCGTTCGCATCGACTTAGCCACAGAGCTGACAGATTACTTACATGTACTCAAAACTATTATTTCAACTACTTGTGTCTTACCAATCCAGCACCTGAAATATTGTTTTTACTTTCTCTGTCCGACCTAGTTGTTTTATTAACTACCTGTATTCAGAACTGTGCTGCTTGGTCTTCGGTCATGGTGTTCGCCTCGAGTGCTATAGGTCTCGGGTTCAAGCCCCAGTGAAGGTTGGGATTTTTTCACATGGATTTCTAATAATTTTCCCCGGTCTTTGGGCAGAAAAACCGAATGCCTGTGTGTATTGTTGCACACGTAAAAATAAAAACCTTGGCAGTGGAAAATCGAAAAGAGTCGCCTAACGGCGCTGACCGGAGAAAATTTGGAGTTAAAAATCTATCCAAAGTATTTCAGGATCCTCGCAGGTGCAACAGAGTTTGTGCACAGTGCTGAGATTCTTCGGACTCAGGCGTGAGTTAGAGGAAGACTGAAGCACTTAATGGTTACACCCGTGTGCCATGATTTTGATCCGTTAGATAAACATAAACATTCCGAACTGTTAATTCAACTTCTTGTCTTTCATGTTTCACAACCCCAGTATTAAAATCATGTTACTTCCTTTGTTCCATACAATTAGTTGTTAGATTAACTCTTAGCTGTTAATTCAACGCCCTTTATGCCATAATGTTTCATCACCCTAGAAGCTGAAATAATTATCTTACTTTTGTGCCCTATCCACTTGGAACTTTAACTTTCTTTATTAAAAACTATCATTTCAACTTCTTGGGTCTCACCACACAAGTATTATCTTTTTTTGTGTGTGTGTGTCCTATTCAATTGTTTCATTAACTCTATGTATTCAAAACCATTATTTCAGCTCCTCAGGTTTGACTATCCCAGTATGTGAAATCATTTCTTTATTTATTTTATGCCATCCAGCTGTAACATTAACTCTCAGTATTCCAAACTGTTATTGTAACTTCTTGTGTCTCATTTTCGCAGTACATGAAATCATTACCTTACTTTTCTGTTGTTGTCCCATCCAGTTGAAACATTAACTCCATTTATCATGTTATTTCAACTCTTTGTCTTTCACCACCCCAGTGATTGAAAGCATTGCCTTACTTTCTTTGTTACTTCCTTTGTCTTTTTCAGTTCTTAAGATTAACTCCATGTATTTTAAACTGTTATTTTAACTTCATGTATCTCACAACCCCTGTATCTGAAATCATATTCTTACTTCCTTTGTTTTATTCAGTTATCAGATTAACTCCATATATTCCAACATAACATTACATAACCCTTGACCCGTTATGGTCGTGGAGGTGTATTGATGGAAGCACTAGCATAAAAAACCCACCATCTTTCTCTGTCTTCCACTTGAGGAATAAGTGTACGATAACTTAGTCCTGTCCATTTCTTGATATTGTCATTCCAGGTTCTTCTCTGCCCTCTTCTTCTTCGACTACCCCCACCCCACCCCAATGTTCCTTGAAGCACAGTCTTTGCAATCAAATCATGTCTCACCAAGTGCCCGAACCAAGCTAACTTGTGACGTTTCATCACTGCCAAAAAAGGCTTCTGATAACCTGCAAATTTGTATATTTTGTCTCAGAGATAACTGTTAGTTTTGTATTTCAAACTGTTATTCCAACTTCTTGTGCTTCACCACCCTAGTGCCTGAAATCATCTTCCAACTTTCTGTGTTCCATCTAGTTGTTACCACCCAAGTAGTTTTATCTACATTTTTTAAGTTACAGCCTTTGCCTGACACAGCTTTTTCTGGCTATTATAATGTCAAATAGAGATGCTGAGATTTGTTCGTGTTGAATTTTCATCTGAATAGTGTCTCTTTAAGTCGCTGGGTGTTACTCTTTCAAGACTCAATCCTAGAAGGTGGGAAACAAATGCAGTTTATGAGTATTCCCACTGGATAACCTAGCATGATCTTATAGTATATCTGGCTGTAGCAAAGGTCACATAATTCCAACACTTACATATGGTTGAAGACACTCAGACTCACTCCAAACAACATGTGAATGACGCCAAGAATTATGGCCATCTTCATCTTCAGAGAGTTTAGCACCAAGATCTTATTTTTAGCACCCTGCCAGATCTGCAAAAGTATTCAAATAGTGCTATTTTACATATAAAAACATCTCCTAAATAACCGGACAAAACCTTACAAAAAACATATTCATTGTCAATCATGTGCCATCTCCACACTGAAGGTTGGCTGAAATGGCTCTCCAACATGCACTATCTTTTTTCTTGGATGTACACTATCTCTTTTCTTGGATGTACACTATCTCTTTTCTTGGATGTACACTATCTTTTCTTGGTTGCACACTATCTCTTCTCTTGGTTGTACACTATCTCTTTTCTTGGTTGCACACTATCTCTTCTCTTAGCTGTACACTATCTCTTTTCTTGGTTGTGCACTCTCTCTTTTCTTGGATGTACACTATCTCTTTTCTTGGATGGACACTATCTCTTTTCTTGGTTGTACACTATCTCTTTTCTTGGTTGTACACTCTCTCTGATGGATGTTCTGGAAGGCTGTAAAGAATCTTCCTGTGATGCCTTTCTCTACCTCTCCTTCCATAAATGATTCCTGCCATCACATGTTCTAGCTTCTCTCTTCTCATAACATGACCACAAAAATTATGACCGTCTACCTTCGATGTTGGCTGCCTTGATGTAGGGCTAGACACTTGCCTGTGAATCCAAAGGTCATAGGTTTAAATCCGAACTAAGCATGGCATTTATTTTCTTTAAATGACCCTCGATCCCAGACTGACCCAGCCTAAAATGGGTACCAGGTAAAGTCGTGGGAAGTACAGGTGGGTGGTGTGATGTTGACCACATTACAAGCGTAATGTTAATTTCCCTGTCCTATTCTGTTTAACTGATTCAGATTTGCTATAATTAATGTTAAGCGAGTGAAAGATTATAATTAACCAGTTCAGATGTTGTGTAACTGAATGTTGAGCAAGTGAAAGATTATAATTAACCAGTTCAGATGTTGTGTAACTGAATGTTGAGCAAGTGAAAGATTATAATTAACCAGTTCAGATGTTGTGTAACTGAATGTTGAGCAAGTGAAAGATTATAATTAACCAGTTCAGATGTTGAGTAACTGAATGTTGAGCAAGTGAAAGATCATAACTAACAGGTTCATAACTTCTATAAATGAATGTTTAGCAAGTTAAATATTACAACTAACCAATTCACATGTTCTTTTACTGAATGTTGAGTGAGTGAAAGATCATAACTGACCAGTTCACATGTTCTAAAACTAAAAGTTGAGTGCGTGAAAGATTACAACTAACCAGTTGAGTAAATGAATGTTGAGTGAATGAAATCATAACTAATCACTTCATATGTTTTATAATTCAATACTGAATAAGTGACAGATTATCATTAACCAGTTCATATGTTCTATAACTCAGTGTTAAATGAGTGACAGATTATCATTAACCAGTTCATATGTTCTATAACTCAGTGTTAAATGAGTGAAAGATTATCATTAACCAGTTCATATGTTCTTTAACTCAGTGTTAAATGAGTGACAGATTATCATTAATCAGTTTATATGTTCTATAACTCAGTGTTAAATGAGTGACAGATTATCATTAACCAGTTCATATGTTCTATAACTCAGTGATAAATGAGTGAAAGATTATCATTAACCAGTTCATATGTTCTATAACTCAGTGTTAAATGAGTGAAAGATTATCATTAACCAGTTCATATGTTCTATAACTCAGTGTTAAATGAGTGACAGATTATCATTAACCAGTTCACATATTCTACACAGCAATGAGTGAGCAATGACTATAATCTTACTGGGTCAATTCCAAAGAAGTATGCTGTGCCATTGATGTGGTCATATTTAGGATCCAGCTGAATATCTTCATTTATTCTCAAATCTTTTTCTCTGAAATGAACAGAAAATCGTGTGTAACTTACATCTCATTATTCATAGATCCACATGGCTAAGTGGTCAAGCTGTGTGCCTCATGCATTTCTTTTTCTTCTTAGTCACATTCAATGACTACAAACTGGTGGAAAGTTCTGGCCGTTTGTCAGCCTCCGGACTTTAAGTCTTTCTTATAAATTGATTTTTGAGTGCACATCCATTTAACACACTGAATTCTTTGTAAGCAGACTGTTGGTTCTTTGCCTCTCATGCAGATGCACTCCAAATTCAAAGAGACCCTTATTTAGTCGTTTATGACCCGCTGTTCAGGGGTGGCAGTGGGTCTAATTCTTTTCCTCCCAATATGGGGCCTGGAGACCCACACAGGAAGCTCCCCAGGGCTGTGATGTCAATTCTCAACTCAACTCAACTCAACTCAACTCAACTGGAGCGAAACTAAGCCCTTTGGGATAAAAACCAGTGCAATAAAATCAGCCCTCTTAATTTTAAATCTTCATATTCCATAGTACAGGTTGAATCATTTCATTGTAAATGGGAGAGGTCAGATGCAGACATACATCAGCAAGAACCTACTTTCCTGGCAAGAACAGACAAGTTGACCTGCCAATATTTACGATATAGATGCACAGTTGTTAGTATACTTGTCTGCAAAGATAGTGGTCTGGGTTCAATCCCCAGAAATGGCAGGATTTTTTTCTCCTATTATTACAGACTTTGGGTCAATTTAAACAGATTGTCCCTAACCAGTACAGACCTGGGGGTCAATTTAAGCAGATTTTCCCCAACCAGTACAGACATATGGGCCAATTTAAGGAGATCTTTCCCAACAAGTACAGACGGGTTCAAACTAGCTGATTTTTCCCTACTAGTACACTTGGGGTCAATCTAAGCAGATTTTTCCCTGTCAGTACAGACTTAGTGTCAATCTAGCAGATTTTTCCCTGTCAGTACAGACTTAGTGTCAATCTAGCAGATTTTTCCCTGTCAGTACAGACTTAGTGTCAATCTAGCAGATTTTTCCCTGTCAGTACAGACTTAGTGTCAATCTAGCAGATTTTTCCCTGTCAGTACAGACTTAGTGTCAATCTAGCAGATTTTTCCCTGTCAGTACAGACTTAGTGTCAATCTAGCAGATTTTTCCCTGTCAGTACAGACTTAGTGTCAATCTAGCAGATTTTTCCCTGTCAGTACAGACTTAGTGTCAATCTAGCAGATTTTTCCCTGTCAGTACAGACTTAGTGTCAATCTAGCAGATTTTTCCCTGTCAGTACAGACTTAGTGTCAATCTAGCAGATTTTTCCCTGTCAGTACAGACTTAGTGTCAATCTAGCAGATTTTTCCCTGTCAGTACAGTCTTAGTGTCAATCTATCAGATTTTTCCCTGTCAGTACAGACTTAGTGTCAATCTAGCAGATTTTTCCCTGTCAGTACAGACTTAGTGTCAATCTAGCAGTTTTTTCCCTGTCAGTACAGACATAGTGTCAATCTTGCAGATTTTTCCCTGTCAGTACAGACTTAGTGTCAATCTAGCAGATTTTTCCCTGTCAGTACAGACTTAGTGTCAATCTAGCAGATATTCCTCTGCTAGTGCAGATTTAGTGTCAATTTAAGTAGTTTCTTTTTTTGGTTTTGTTGACTAGTAGAGACTTGGAGTTTATCTAACCATCCTTTCAAGGGCTAACAAGGAAGAAGTAGAAAACAGTGAAGTAGAAGAACGAGACACATAAACAAATTGGCTAATCAATTTTACACATTAACAAAATGTGTGTACCGTCTCCAGACTAAAGGCTGGCTGCAATGAATGCTGTGCTTGGGAATATTATATAGTGAGGCCTCTGACCTCTTTCCCAGTACATCTCTCTTACAGATGTCCAAAAGACACAAGGACAATTAATTAAAAAAAGAAAAAAAAAAACCCAGTAAGAGGAAGATCAAATGATACTGTTAAACGCATTCACTAACCTCTAAGCCCGAGCCACACTCTTCTTCTTCTTAAAGTCCATGTCATATGGCGTTGGTAGTCATGTCTATCCACTGTCTCGTGTACTTTCAGTCAACTCTGACACAGATGATCCTCCATGCCCTGATGCCAAACTGTCCAGCATCTTTTCTCTCGGTCTCCCTCTGCTTCTTTTCTCCTCCAACTTTCCCACTGTCATAATGTACTCCAGTTTTCTCTTCCTCATGACATGACCAAAGAATGTAGAATGTCTGATCTGGGAAATCAGTTCTCTTTCTCACACATACATAAAACAGTCTGACAATCAGTTCTCTCTCTTTCACACACATATAAAACAGTCTGACAATCAGTTCTCTCTCTCTCTCACACACACATATATAAAACAGTCTGACAGTCAATTCTCTCTCTCTCCCACACACATATAAAACAGTCTGACAATCAGTTCTCTCTCTCACACACACATATAAAACAGTCTGACAGTCAAGATTTTATAATACACTACATACAATGTGACTGGTTTCCATTGAGAGCCAAAGATGTTCAGAGACCTGGAGAAGACATCGTTGTAAATCAACCCAGTGTAGATGGAGAACAGACCCATCATCATGATGATGTATCGTCCTCCAAAGAAGGTATTTGCAATCTGTTGATCAATAATAATACTAGTCAACAACCAAAATATACCAGAAATGAAAACAGCTGATCTTAACCTTCCAAAGCCCTCTGAAGAAGGTATTTGCTATCTGTTAAATCAGTAACAACACTGGTTAACAAACAGAATGTACCAGAAATGAAAATAGCTAATCAAACTAGTTTTGGTGTGCTGAAAATGAAAATCACATTAAAAAAAATGTTGACTGGCTCTAGTTTTCAAGATATATGCTACTAGTTTATTTAATTAAGGTCAATCTTTCTATTCACGCCACAACTGTTGTGAGCAGTTGCATAATTTGTTTTTAATGACCAATGAAAATTAAGAAAAAAACTTCAGCAAAAAATCAGCCAGTATCCCCGAAGGGGCACTTTTAGGTTATAATCATGGCTAAGTTATTTGCACCATACTCAATGGCTTAGCACTGCACGCCACCAAGAAACTTTGAAAAAAAACAAACAAAAAAAAAACTCTTGCTGTGTTCATGCAATCAAAGGAGACAGACCCAAATACTGTCCTGACCAACAATGAAGTCATCTACCGGCCAAAGCCACTGGATGACCTAGTCGCTGATGATGCAAGTAATCAGTTCTCCTTGTGAGTTAAATTATTTCAAGACATCTTCATTAAACTTTTTAGCTGTCCATGGTAAAAGAAGAAGAGAAGAAGATAGAGACTGATTACATTTTCATACTTTCTCTCTAAACAATTTTTTTTTCAAATGATGTACATACCTCGTTACCCATTTTCTTGCTACCTAATGACTTCTCTTTCAGAACCATGAACAATCCAAAAAGGAACATGATCAATCCGTGCCCAGCGTCACCAAACATGACAGCAAACAGGAAAGGAAAAGTGATCACTGTATAGGGAGCTACAAAAAGAAAATAATCACAAGGATTAATTTAGTTTTCACAAAATGAAGTTCTGTTTCAATCAACTGCTCCACCATCAAGTCCCCATGTGGGTTTGGGGCCCCACTTTTTTTGGGGGGGGGTGGAAAAACAGACCCACTGATCTTTAACAAGGATTATGTAAAAGGCGACTAATTAGGGATCTGCTGAAATAGGAGGTGTTGGTTTGAAAGGTGCAGATATCACAGACTAGCTGCACACCACAACACAATGAAGCAAGCAATATTCTTATGGTGAAAACTGGAGAAAAAAAATAAATTGGGAGAGCTGTGATAGAGCAGTATGTAACAAACTTGCCTGCTGTTTCAGTGGTCATGAGTTCAAATCTGTACCAAGGCAGTTTATAAAGAAATTGACCTAGCTTTCAGGTCAACTCAGCTTACAACTGGTATCAGGATATGCTTAGGGAAGTAGACGCAGTTAGTGAGATGCTGACATCATCCATCGATCGGTCAATAATAAAATGGGCTAGTGTAATCTTTTCCCCCAAAAATTCCTAGTACTATTTTCAAAAAAAAAAAATGCCCGTTAAAATCACCAGCCGGAATACAGGACAAGAAATGCTCATTTAGGGAAAACTATTGCTGAACACGACAGACTGGAGAAAATGGCTCTACAGGAAATGGAGTTGCAAGAATTCAGGCCGGAATTCAGGATTTGGAGAGTTATGACGATGTTACAGAAGAAGATGACGTGACTGAATTTGAATAAGTGTAGAATTTAATATTGAATAAACTTAGATTTTTGTATCTGGAAAAAATTAGACATCCCGTGTAAATAACTGCATTTTATAAAGTGAAAATTAATATAAGACCTGGTTTGATTTTCAGGAAAACATGGTACCATATGTCCAAAGCCTCTTTAGACATTATTAGTGTTAGGGAAAAAACCAACAGAAATCAAGGAAAGCCATCACATCCTTTTAACAGGTTTCATCAAGATATGTTTAAATGTAGATATTTCAATACTTGTAGATTTCTTAATAAACGTAGATCATTGTACTTGGATAAATGTAGATTTCTGTACAAGGAACAGAAAAAAAAAAAGATAACCCTGAAAATAAGCCCTACGGTGCTTTTCAGAGCAAAAATTGGCTCTCCTGTCAACTACGGCCGGTAGACAACAGTAGACGGCACTGTAGCCAAGGGACAGAACTCCGACTAACCGGCCGTCTACTGTTGTCTACCGGCCGTAGTTTACAGGAGAGCCCAAAAATTATTATACGACCCAGTCTTACTTACAGGAACATGCTGTATGTAGCATTTGGTATATTTGAGAATTACAGATATCAACTGTACCTGGATTGACCTCTCCGTAACTGGCGATACCATAGGAAGACACAATGTGCTGGAAGCCAATGACAAACTTGTTGCAGTTGTAGTAAGTGGGTGGTTTCTCATCCGTCACCATGGGCTGGATCACACTAGGGATTGTACTGCCGCTCTGTTTCTGTGAACAGTTCATCAACAGGTTTACTCATTATTAATGCAGACTGGGAAAATACACAAAGAAGAACTGCACGTCTCTAGAGGTTGGACTAACCCTTCAGGTTCCAGGTCGAATCCCAAGTCACTGCCACCAAGTTCTAAGTCAGTGTTACCGAGTCCCAAGTCACTGCCACCAAGTTTTAAGTCAGTGTTACTGAGTCCCAAGTCACTGCCACCAAGTTCTAAGTCAGTGTCACTGAGTCCCAAGTCACTGCCACCAAGTTCTAAGTCAGTGTCACTGAGTCCCAAGTCACTGCCACCAAGTTCTAAGTCAGTGTTACTGAGTCCCAAGTCACTGCCACCAAGTTCTAAGTCAGTGTTACTGAGTCCCAAGTCACTGCCACCAAGTCCTAAGTCAGTGTCACCGAGTCCCTAGTCACTGTCACCAAGTTCTAAGTCAGTGTCACTGAGTCCCAAGTCACTGCCATCTAGCTCTAAGTCAGTGTCACCAAGTCACTGCCACCAAGTTCTAAGTCAGTGTCACCAGGTCCCAAGTCACTGACAGCTAGTCCTAAGTCAGTGTCACCAAGTCCCAAGTCACTGCCACCAAGTTCTAAGTCAGTGTCACCAAGCCCTAAGTCACTGCCACCAAGTCCCAAGTCACTGCCACCAAGCCCTAAGTCACTGCCACTGAGTCTCAAATCATTGCCACCAAGTCCCAAGTCACTGTCACAAAGTCCCAAGTCAAGTAACAAGTCACCAAGAAGGCTTCCAAGTCAAGTTCTGAATCAATCCACTTCATGTATAAAGTCATTTGCAAGTCATGCACGAAACAATGCTTATGGACTTAAATGGTTAGTCTGTTATAATAACAAAACATCAGCCAACAATTGTTAGATCTTGATTTTGTATGTAAATAGCTGAACTGAAAATGCACATATATTTGCATACTGAAGGTACTGTTATTTCAATAAATTTACAAAAACAAAAAGTGATCAGTTGTACCAAGTTGTCAAAGCTACAGATCACATGATGTCTCCGATGGATACAACTCCGAGTCGAGTTGCAAGCCTTAATTATGCGACTTAAGTCATTCTCGAGTCCAAATTGTGCTAATTTGTAGACCTAACCTAAAATGGCCTGGAAATGTCTTGAGAAGCAAAGGTAAAAGGCATGGGGTTGACTCATTTTAATGCAGACTAGGATATATATATATATATATATATATATATATATATATATATATATATATATATATATATATATATATATATATATATATATATATATATATATATATAGGAGTGTGGCTTTTCTTTAGTTTCATTCTCGTTTGCTCAGTCGATAGGAGACTCGTTTTCAAATCCAGCTGCGACTCGCTGCAGCCCACGGCCCGTCTTCGAAACTGGGCAGTTCCCGGGGTTCCCCCAGCCTATAGGTAATGGGTACTAGAGTTAGCACTCTGGCGTCGCTGTAGCTACAGAGTTGCGAGTGGACAACAACACATGCGGACAGTTTCGTATCAGCTGTTCGTTCTATTAGCAGAGCACATATGGTGTATAACATTGTGCAATGACGCTGGTTCACATCTCCTGACTTTACTTATTTTTTTTTTAAACCTTTTAGTTTCATTCTAGTTAAATATGGGTTGCCTCAAATACCCGGAAGTGGCCTTGGCATTGGAGGCTAGATGCCCGCCTTGGGATTTGGAAGGTCATGGATGGGTTCACATCCTGACGGAGCCAGACCTTTTTTTATTTTTCAAAAATGACCTTGACTCCTAGGTTGATCCAAAATTGAGTGGGTACCAGGTGCAGTCCTGGGAAGTAAAGGCACCCAATGTGATGCTGACCACATTACCCACCAGGTGCCGATTAGTCTATAAAATATAGGTATAGCCTTATATTCCCAATACGCCTAAAGGCCTGGAAAAGGGACCCTAATCTTTATTTATCTTAAAGATCCTGGGAGCCGCCTTAGTACAGCAAGACACTCATCTCTTGGTCAGAAGGTTGTAGGCTTAAATAAGCATCAAGCCAAACAAGAGAAAATACAAATAAACAAAACAACACATCCACAAACACTAAAACAATGTAAAATAAAACAACACATCACAAACAACACTCCAAACTACTAAAACAGCAAGCATTTACCTCCCCAACATTGAGGGCCCTCCTGATATCATCAGCAGCTTTAACGGGGAACCAGCATTCGGCAATCAAGCTGTTCTGATGAACTTTGAACATGTTCAGAGTGTGATAGATGGCCTTGATTTTCTCTACCTTTATAGTCCATGACCTGATTTCCTTCTGGGCTTTCCCCAGCACTCGCATGCGATGCTCATTACTCTGAGCAAGAACCTGAGTACAAATGGAAGAAAATAAGTTTTGCTGCACAGACATGTCTGATCTCTAAAGACCTGTCTGATCTCTATAAGCCTGTCTGATCTCTATAGGCCTGTCTGATCACTATAAGCCTGTCTGATCTCTATAAGCCTGTCTGATCTCTATAGGCCTGTCTGATCTCTATAGGCCTGTCTGATCTCTACTGGCCTGTCTGATCTCTACAGGCCTGTCTGATTTCTATAAGCCTGTCTGATCTCTATAGGTCTGATCTTTATAAGCCTGTCTGATCTCTATAAGCCTGACTGATCTCTATAGGCCTGTCTGATCTCTATAGGCCTGCCTGATCTCTATAGGCCTGTCTGATCTCTATAGGTCTGATCAAGACCGGCTTTAGTTGACAGGCCGTGCTGCTGACGTCACCAGGTCGAGCTAAAGATGCGTTAACGCGGTGGTTCTAAAACAATAAATAAACTATTTTCGACCGTGGCTAGGAAAGACAACTTAGATTTTTAACTTTCAAGTATCTACATTCCTTCTTTAATAATTTCACAATTTTTAGCCAACTTTACTTGATTATTTCCACGGCTCCCCTAGCATACGCTAACGGCACCCCAGTGTGCTTCGGCACCCAGTTTGAGAACTGCTGCTTTCACGCATCGTTAGCCCGACCCGGTGACGTTAGCAGCACGGCCCGTCAGCTGGAGCCGGTCGTGGTTTGATCTTTATAAGCCTGTCTGATCTCCATAGGCCTGTCTGATCTCTACAGGCCTATCTGATCTATATAAGCCTGTCTCTATAGGCCTGTCTGATTATTATTATTCCTTGCCTCCTTTAAGGGCCCTGGTAACAGCTGAAACTGATTACTGCTTTAGTGGGAGTAATTTCTGTGCAGGTCTGAAAATGAACAGAGAAGAAGCATATGACTGAAGTACTGCAGTTGGAGACAATTCTGAGGTTAAGGAGAGCAAAGTATCATTCAACACAATGGAAAGAAAAAAAAAAAAAACAGAGTCACGAAGACGTCTTGAAAGAAAATAACTCATAAAGAGAACTGATTAGCAACATCAGAATCTACAGTTTTGGATCACATCATAAAAAGGAGGAAACTGGAGTGCACTGTGACGGTGAGAAAGTTCAAGAGGAAACCAAGCAGAGGGAGACAGAGGGAGAAGATTCTGCAGTCTGAAACCATGACACAGTAGATCATCTATGACAGAAATGACTGAAAGTACCCAAGAGTAGGCTGTAAACAAACATGTCTACCAATGCAACACTGCATGGACAACAAGATGAAGAAAAACGTATCAATCTACTTTATTTTTCTTTAAGAAACAGGTGATCAAACATCCGCAATATTAGTCTCTCATTTCTGTAAATAAGTAGCTTAGATGTACAGCAGGAGGTCGATAAAGAACAAGAAGGAAAGATAACATCAGAGAAACTCTACAACAGCAAGATGTGTCTATGGTGGAGGCAGCCAAGAAGGAAACAAAGAAGAAATAGAAGTGGCTAAGAGGAGGGATCTGGAGTAGCACGGCATGTCTGAACGCCACCCAGAAAAGAATTGAACCACTGCCTCCCTAACAAGCATGTCGTAAGAGTCGACTAATTAGGGGTTTCCTTCTAAGTCAGGGAAGTCACTGTGGCGTAGCGGCTAGACGCTCACCGTTGATCGGAAGGTCATGGGTTCGCTCCCTTGAGGAGCCAGACTTTTTTCAAAAATGATCTTGGCTTCCAGGTCGACCCAGCCTTGCGTGGGTACCGGGTGCAGTCCCGGGAAGTAGAGGCGGCTAGCATGATGCTGACCACATCACCCACCTTGTGCCGATTGGTCTATAAAATACAGGTCTAGCCCTATATGCCTAAAGGCGTGGAAAAGGGTCCTTTATTTTTACTACTAAGTCAGAGTACATTAGTCTGAGAGACAGAAACCAACAAATATGATAGATCTATAAAACAGATGAGGTCCATGGCTCAGCTCCAAAAATAACAGCAGTCCACAGGTTTTAGCCACCTTAGAACCACTGGCAAAGTCAATATTTTGTCCGCCCCTAATAGAAAAAAAATGCTGTTTTGGAAATGAAAAACACTTAAAAAAGGGTCATTATTAATATCCTACCCTCAGATGACGTCACAGGACAGTCCAACATCTTAGAGGGTGGTAAGACAGGGTTTTCTAGCTTTCTGATGCTTTTAATGACCCCAAAACATCTAGAACTGGCCCTAACCCGAACCCACCTACCTCCCACAAGAGAGTGAAGCCTAGGTCTCACAACTGCATGCAGACTAGGTCCCACGACCGCATGCTGCTTATCTATCACCCCCTGAAATATTAGACTGTTCCGTGACCCATGGATTTCCCCTGTTTGGGGTAGGATATTAATGAAGCACCCAAAAAAAAGTTAGTTATATAATCAGAAAGTCTTTTCTCTGGAATCTACAGAACAAGGGAAACTGAAGGAGAATAAAAACACACACAGAAGAGAATCAGAGACGAGAGATGTCCATAAAACAAAGCCATGATGTTCAGAAAATTAGGTAACTGCTTAGCCATGGGGGACTCCCTTGTAATTAGTTAAGCAACAACAGACAATGCCAGGGCAACTCACAGTCTCTAGGTCAGCAATTCTAGTTTTGACACCAATCAGCATCTCAGTTCTTTCCTTCTGCGTATCTGGCACAGGGTAAATGGTGCCTCTCATCCTGTGATAGTTAAATCAAGTTTTGTATTATACACTGTCTTTGCCTAAATGGGAGGGAATGCAGAATATAAACATATGAATTCACTATATTATGACTAGGAAGCTCAAAGACTTCCAGTCCATATGGGGGACAGTCAGGTTTTTAGTTGTGGCAAGTTCTTGCTTACAACAATAGTTAATGGCTGCATTTTCTCCATATATGGATTCTTCTTTGTGTCCACCAGCTGTAAACTCTGGGCGGAAAGTTCTGATTGTTCATCCACTTCCAGAACCCGAGTGTTGGTGTGCACATCCATTGTATAGATCTGACCCATTTGTATGCAGACTGTTGGTTCCTTGCCTCTCAGATAGATGCACTCTGATTTAGAAGGAAGCTCCTAATTAGTCAACTCTTGTGACATGCTTTTGGGCAGGCATTGGGTCTCTTCCCACACAGGGACATATATAGATTGAAAGGATATAGTTCTATCACCCGGGTACTGAGCTGAGTGCAAGGCATAACACTGTGAGCCTCGGTGCCACCAGAATTGGAACTCTTCGCTTGCTATTAAAGATAGGAAATGAACGCTTAGGGAAGTGTCCCGAGTGCTGTGATGTCGATTCTTAATTCAACATTCACAGACTTTCTTCACTCAGTGGTTCAACTGTTCACTATAACCTTTTATTTCTCTTAACTGACAGCAATTTCAAGAAACTCACCCTTCACAGACTTTCTTTACTCTAGTCCTCAACTGCTCTCCTTGAAAGAACACCAGAAACATACACTTATGCAGCTCATCTCCCTGTACAAATACAACATCATCATTTGAGATTTAAAAAAACCAACAACAAAAACATCACACACTAAAACGGATAAACATATAATGAATATTTGCATTTTCACATTTCATATGTTATATTATTAATAAACGAGAACAGTCATGCAGAAACTGAGCTATCACCATATGTCTGGGGAACCATAGCAGCATAGTGGCTGGATGCTCACCAGCAAAGCTCTTAGGTTCCAATAAGCACCAGGCAGGGTGTGGGGGGGGGGTGGGAATGGCCTTGCCTCACTGGTCAACCCAGTGTAAAGTGGGTATCGGAAAAAGTTCTGGAAAGTAAAGACAGATGGCGTGATGTTGACCACATTATCCATCAAGGGCTGGATGATCTATAAAAATAAGAGTCAAGAAGCATCATATGCTTGATGCCCTATGGCAAGAAAATGATCCATTACAAATGCCCAGTACGACTCAAGTTTGCAAAAAACTGGACCTTTTATTCATACCTTTGTTGTTGTTGTTGTTGTTGCTCCCCAAAGAGAAAACTCAACCTTAGAACGGATTCAAACCTGGGTCTCCTGCATGTCAGCCCAGCGTTCCTAACCGTCCCATTAACCACTCCTCTAATGGGACTGTTAATTTACTGTTATTTTTACGTTTTAATTAACTTTCCAGTTTTTTTCTGAATGTTTTTTACCCCAGTCCACTGAGAAAACTGATCAGGAAAGCACAATGGCTTACAGGTATGGCATCCATCTCTTGCTCCAATAGCTGCTGGTTTTTCTCCTTCTTCTTCATGTTGACCGGTTGTAAACTCCAGCAGAAAGTTCTGTTATTCATCTACTTCTTGTCTTATGATGCCATATACAAAGTATATACTGAAATCCCCTTGTTGGTTCTGGGGACCCCATTATGGGGAAAACAAGAATTTACCCACTGCCTCCTCAACAAGCATGTTATAACAGTCGACTAATTGGGGGGCATGCTTCAAAGTCAGAGTCATCAACCCATGAGGCTTGGAACCTACAGTCTGCATGCAAATATATGAGGTCTGTAAAACAGATGTGCATGCAACACTCAGCTTCTAGAATAATATTAAGTCAGGAGGTGAGTGAACAAGCAGAACTTTCCACCAATATTTACAGCCTGTGAACAAGAAGAAGGAGATGGACATAGAGGTAGACTAAGAACAATGTGGAAAGATAACATAAGAGAAGCTCATTAATAGTATAAAGTGTCTATGACTGAGTTTGTAAGAAGAGCAAGAGCCAGAACTCTATATCTTTCTTGACACACATAACAATTTTTAAAAATTTTTTTAAAAAACATGTAAAATAGGATGTGGCAGGAGTAGTTAAAGTTAGTTGCTTATCCTTTACAGGATGTTGCAAAGCCATTTATTTTTTTTGCTGCTGTCGTTTTTCTAGGCAAATGTTACGTTCAGTAGTTTGCCACTGCTTACTGAATGATCAGCTCTCGGTGCCATTTTTCGAAACCAACACAAGACAAATTGTCCACAGCTGCGATCGAATCTGGTACCCCGCATTATGAAATGCGTTCGCTCTGCATTATGAAACGCGTTCACAGCGCCTAAGCTAGCGACGCCAACAGACTTAGACAGCAGTGGAAGGAGAACTATCGTATTTTGACTTTTATACTGACTGTAGTAACATAGTGCAATCATGAAATACTGACTCACAAACATTTGGTCCAGAACTATACTGGGAATCTCTTCTAATCTAAAGGCAGTGCTTCACAAAAAGAAGAGGGGGGAAAATAGGAAAATAAAGAAGAGGTAAAGGTGGAGAAAAAAAAAAGAAGCAATGTCACATGTTGAAAGCAGCAATATGACATAATCATGAAATAGCTGACTCACAGACACTGGGTCCAGAAATGTCCTGGGAATCTCTTCTAATCTAAAGGCAGTGCTTCACACAAAGAAGAGGGGAAAAGAGGAAAATAAAGAAGAGGTAAATGTGGAGAAAAAAAAAAAGAAGCAATGACATGCTGAAAGCAGCAATATGACATAATCATGAAATAGCTGACTCACAGACACTGGGTCCAGAAATGTCCTTGGGATCTCTTCTATCCTAACAAAGACAGTGCTGTGTGTGATAAACTTCAGCACCCTCTCAAAGACAGGCACCTTCTCTCTAGAAATTGTGCCCACATAGAATCTGAAATATCAACATAATGCCTGCTATTATATATACTCAGCCCATTGATGTCAATGCAGTGCAACTTATCCACTGTAAAAATTACTAAGCTAAAGCTAGAGTCAAAAGGATCCATTTCAGTGCCCTAAATTGCATCCCACCTCTCTCTCTCTCTCTCTCTCTCTCTCTCTATTTCTCTCTCTCTCTCTCTCACTCTCTCACTCTCCGCAGAAGGGTTAACTGCCTGCCAAGAGAGTTGCACAAAGCATGAACTCCGCAGCTCCAGTGAATATCCCCATGGAAATCTCCATGGGAACCAAACGACGAAGTCGATGAAATAAACCCGTCCTTTAGAGCATACGGTAAACAGCTTGACTACTTCGCCAAGGAGACACACCCATGCTCTCCCTTTTTTGTTGAATGAAAACACTCAATAAGCTGTTTTTTTAAAAAGTGACTTTATAATTTTCTTCTTCTTCTTTGCTAGCTGACAGTTTGATATGTAAAGGATTATTTTCAATGCATATGGATATTTATGTAAGACAGAGCCATAAATAATGATGATAAAGATGCAGGAAAAATCATCATCATCAGTTCTCGTTATGCCTAGTGGCACATGAGGCTTCAGAGAGGACTTTCCATGCTTTCCTGTCCTGTGCAATCTTCGATGCAGTTTTCCATGTCAAAGATGCCGCACTCAGGTCACTTTCCATCGTTCGTCTCCATGTTGTTTTTGCAGGAAAAAAAGCTAACGTTAAAGGTTAAAGTGTGGGCAACAGGTCGTCTCCACTACACAGCCCTGACTCTGTGTTAAGGAGAGAAGGAACTTCATCCCTGGCCTTAACTCTCTCATCATCAAGGGCTGTGATTCTTATGCTCACGTCCTCCAAGATTGTCCCAAACACAACACATCAAGGCAAAACTTTTAGCTAAGAGTAACATCAGTGCAAGCCAAACTCTGCTTGTCGCTGAGTGAATTACAACAGACAGTGAAGTTCATACTAGAGACAACATTGCAGATACAGATAATCTATTTCCAGCTAACGAAAGAAGAAGATCAATGGAACACTCTCTTCTGAAAAGGCAGCAAAGAAGAAAAAGATTCCTACGCCTTCCTATTGGTCAATGGAACACACTCTTCTGGAAAGGCAGCAAAGAAGAAAAAGATTCCTATGACTCCCTATAGATCAATGAAACACTCTATTCTGTAAAGGCAGCAAAGAAGAAGACAATTCCTATGACTCCCTATAGATCAAAGGCGGCGTCCGTGGCTAAGGCTTTGCGAGTCCGACTCGTAAGCCAGCATACCGCGATTGAAACCCACTGCAGGCTGCGTGGATTTTTGTCGTGGTATGGGACGTCGCAGGTCGACCCAGCCTAAAATGGGTACCAGGATGGGCTGTCCTGGGAAAGTAAAGACAGCTGGCGTAATGCTGACCACATTACCCACAGAGTGCTGATGGTCTGTAAAAATATGGGACGCTCTGCCCATATGCCCGATGCGCCGAAAGGCGTGAAAAGGGAACTTTACTTTTTTTTTTACTATAGATCAATGGAACGCTCTCTTCTGGAAAGGCAGCAAAGAAGAAGAAGATTTTCGTTGACTCCCTATAGATCAATGGAACACTCTATACTGGAAAGGCAGCAAAGAAGAAGACAATTTCTATTGACTCCCTATAGATCAATGGAACACTCTATACTAGAAAGACAGCAAAGTGCTAATGAACTAAACTACTATTTCTCTTGATCTTGGTCAATAGTATTCTAAGAATGTTTCTATAAACTTTAGTCTGCCCGAGTCTCAACAAATACAGACTATACCACTATGTAACACTTCTTCTTCTTCTCTTCCCCATTTACCTCAGCGAGGTTTTGGGGGGAGATGTAAGGATCGTTTGTGCACTTTTTCCAACACATTGTACAAGTTTTCTGTTAGGTTGCTTCTGATAAGGTCGCTCCATCTCTTGTGTGATCTTCCCCTTGCTCTGTGTTTATTATATTTCTTCAGCATGGCTCTCTGTGGCAGTTGGTTACCAGGGCATTCTCGTCAGGTGGCCAAACCATCTCATTGGTTGTTTTTTAATGAATCGTATGACTGGTTTCCATCCTAGTCTTTTAATTTCTTCATTCTTGATTTTTCTCTTCTTGTAACACTAAAATGTTAAATAACGCTAATATGAAATAGATTCCCAGGTCAACTCAGCCTGAAATATCTGACAGAACAACAGAATAAACAAGTACTTAAATATTTACCCAAGAGCTGCTGTCTGTTGTCGTCCAATGATGGCCTCTTCGTGTCCCTGGATTTCTTCATCCATCATACTTTGAATATCTTGACCATACTGTGAATGATTAGAAGAAGAAAAAATGTAAAATTGTTTAAATATTGTCATTAGGTGTGAGGTGTTAGGCACATTCTAGTCCAAGACAAATGAAATACAGAGGCTTGTTCCCTTTATTGCCACATTAAAAAAAAAAAAGACTTTCTTTTGTCCATATTCTGCTTTGTGCCACTAAGCATTGCAGGTTAACAGATGATCTGCTGGAGAAGCTCAGTTGCCTGCTATGCTGTGGTGCTGTGGACTCAAGGTGCTAACTGGCAATATAATCCTGTCTTCGCTAGGGAGTGAACTTGGGCCACTGTTTTGACAGACAAGTATATTAACCACTATGCTATGATGGCTCAACAGATTAAAAACTGTCAAGCGGGGAAAAGTATTAACAATAAATTTACAATGGAATAAAGTTTACCCACACAGAAAAAAAAAACATAGATTTTATATATTGTTTTAAAAGCTTATGTTTAAAAGGCAATCAAACAGTTAAATAAAAAGAAGAAAAACAAATTATTTTAAATAGCTTACTGGACAAAAAAAATGAAATAATTATCTTTACATAATTTATCTACAATTTTATAGCAAAACCACAATTTGCTAGCACTACAATGCATTACTATACACAAAGAGTGTGTATTAAAAGTTTTAGCTTGATAGTTCATCAGAAAAAGTTTATAAAATTGGCAGTAAAGTTTTGCGCCTACACTTATTTATGGCAAAATGCTTTTATTTTCTCCCAAGTTACATAGTAATATAATGAAATACTTAACTTGAAAATATACTGGTACCAAGTAAATTGCACCTCTCTAGAAGCACAAGTTATCAATTTTAAAAAATTTTTTAAAAGGATGGCTAAATTTGGTGCCAATACAAATTCAGTTAAAACTGCTATCCTCTCGAACTTTAAAAACATTTCATAGAATCCTTTCCTTAAAATATAATTTACTAGATAGAAAGACATATCACTGGAACCACAAATTATCAATAAAAACATTTAAAACTGAATATTATTGGACCACTCTGCACTGTCATCTACAAATAGAGAGTGAGTGAGAGGGTGAGTGAGGCAGTGAGTGAGTGAGGCAGTGAGTTAGAGAGTGAGTGGAGTATGTGTGTGTGTTTGTGTGTGTGTGAGAGAGAGAGGGACAGACAGATAGATAGAGAGAGAGACAGAGAGAGAGAGAGAGAGAGAGAGAGAGAGAGAGAGAGAGAGAGAGAGAGAGAGAGAGAGAGAAGGAGAGAGAGAAATTTGAGCCCAATGGCTCACCAAAAAAAAATCAAAACAAAATTTTGACCAGAAAACATCAGTGACCATAATAAAAGCTTATATAAAAAGACAAAACAATGTTAGCAAATATAGAGCCATCGAATAGTATGAAGATTCTCCAATTAAAAAAAATTTATTTGAAACCCTGATTACAAATGCATTCTTCTCTTCTTTCTTCTGCTCTCTATCCCCCATTGGAAAACAGACCTTCAATCAACTCATGCCTGTTCGTCCTTTCCCTTGCTATGAATCCTTCCAATCAAAATACACTGGTAACAACAGACAATCTCACTTGTGTATTACAGCTTAAAAAAAAAGATTCATGTTTTGCATTTAATCAAATGTTGATGTAAAATCTAATACTTCGCATGACTGAAATACCGCAACACATGTCAGGCAATATCCAGGCAATATATTATACAATGAATTTTCTGGTATCCATTTTTATGACGTTTGGTCGACCTTTGTGCTGTACAAGTCAGAAAAAAATAATTCTGCCTCTACTTGGAATTGAATCTAAACCACTATCTTCACAGGAAAGAATACTAAGCCCTATGCCACTTGAGCATTGTTACTTACAGCAGCAAAATAAGTCTGAGTCAGCTCCAAAACCTCTTTTAACTCCATCAATTCCAGGTGATTTTGCTTAAGAGCCTCATTGTTTGTGTTGACCTGTCGCAGTTCTGTATCCACTTTTTCAAACTCCACCTGTGAAAGATATAAATCACTGCTCATTAATTGAAAAAAAAATATATATATATAGATATTCTTCATCTTCTCCTTCTGCCCTTTACCCTCTAAAGAAGCACAGATCCTCAAGGACCTTGCATCAAGACATCCTATCCTTTGTCAACTCATGCAAATCATTCCATGACCTCTCCATCTTAAAGAGCTTCATTTTTTTTCTAAAAGAGCATGTGGAAACACCAGACAAATATCCTTTTTAAAAAAATGCATTTTACACATGACACTAATCCTCTTTTTCTTGGCGTTCACCAGCTGTAAACTCAGGCGGAAAGTTCTGGTTGTTCATCCACCTCTGGACTTTAAACTTGTTCCAGAACCTGAGTGTTGCATGCACATCCATTTTACTGATCTGACTTATTTGTGTGCAGATTGTTGGTTCTTTGCCTCTCAGGCAGATGCATTCCGACTTTGAAGGAAACACCCAATTAGTCTACTCTTACGACCATGCTTGTTAGGGAGGCAGTGGGTCTATTCTTATTTTCCCACAATGGGGCCTCAGAACCCACACAAAGAATATGACACTAGTAAATGTTTTACAAACTTATTTATCTACATTTTTATATCAGTTGAGAAAATGGCCACTCGAAAAAATCTGTCAAAGCATTAAATATATAGTGGAATAGACCACTGGGGAAGCCAGGTTTTTTTAATATGCTCTGAAAAAATGTAGAATATATTTAAAAAAAAAAAAAAACATTATGGCACGGCAGGGATTCATAGGGAAGAGTTAATCTCATATCATGCATTACTTCTGAGCAAAAAACATTTACATATATATCAATTACAGATTTAGTAGTTCAAGAAATACTAAAATACATACAGCAGGCAGCTTCATCATGAAGGTTATTATACACAGGAACACTGAAGCAATACTATAAGCATTCATTTTTAAACAGAAGCATTTTGCTAACTGTTTCTGCAGCAAATTGTCTGCGTGTAAATCTTTGAAGCAATCTAGTTGTGTTTACATCTCTGTACAACATGTCTGCGATATATAGGATGTGTGTACAAAATGTCTGCAATATACTAGCTGTATGTACAACAGTACTGCAACACTAGTTATACGTACATCTCTGCAAACATAGTGGCTGTATGTATACATCTCTATAACATACTAGCTGCATGTGCAATATCCTTGAAGTATGCCGATTCTGTGTCACACAATGTTTTCTGTGTTTGCGTGTATGTCTTGGTTTGGTTTGAGCATATTAACAATAACTGGCTCAGTATTTCAAATTGCAGCACAGTAGATGCCACAGGACATCTGCTGTGAAAGTTTCTGAAACTGAAGGAGTTAATAAAACATTTATGCAAAGTAAACACTAAATTCCCCATGCATTTAATTTTGACAATTCTCTGTGTAGGTTCTAAGGCCCCATTGTAGGGGGGGGGGGGGGGGGGGGGGGGGGGGGGAACAGACAGACCACTGCACCCCCGCCTTTTCCAAGCAAGCGTGTTGTAAAAATTTATTATTGAGGTGTGTTTCCTTCGCAGTCATAGTGCATCTGCTGACAGGTAAGAAATCAACAGCCTGCTTACAAATAAGACAGATGTGTAAAATGGATGTGCATGCCAAACTTATTCTGGAACCAGACTAAGGTCCAGAAGTGAACCAGAACTTTCTACAGGAGTCTACCTCCGGGGAACCACAAAGAAGAAGACTCTGATTATCAAGACAGAGAAAAAAATTACAAACATTTTACCTCCAGATCATTCATCTCTTTGGGGGCAGGAGCCTTGGGATTCTCCAGGTTGTCTGGAATCCTCATTCCCTCTTTCAAGATTTCCTTTTCAGTGTATCCTATCAATGATTAGAGTGAAAACGACATTTCCAGCTTTCAAACATGTATAGCATTAAAATAATTCAATCAGAATTTTTTTTTAATGAATACAGTATTTTTGCAGCCCACTGACAGATACTTCAAAAAAAAAAAAAAAAAGGGAACAAACAACAAAACTCTATATAGCTGACAAGAAGGGTTTATTAATTCCAACACTGTTCTCGTCGGACAATGAGCCAGAGATTAGTTGTTTAGGTACACAGCCTACTCAAAAAGGGTCTAAAGCTCATCATTACCTGGACATCATCATCATGTAGCAGGTCCTTTGCAGAACGTCGCTCTCATCACAGCCTGCCTGAAAGAAACTCAGTCTCTGGCCAGTTCTCCCGCCTCATGTGCTTTCATACTCAAGGAGTCACTTATATCCTGTGCCCATCTTCGTGTCGGTCGGCCCCTGCCTCTACTTCCTGGTACCATGCCTTTTGCTATAGTTCATACCAATCCGTCGTGGCGCTTGATATGATCAAAATATTTTAGCTTCCAAGAAAGGATGCTGTTTATTAGCCAATCTTCCTTGATGTTCAGATCTTTTAAGATGTCAATATTTCTCCTCTTCTTTGTCCAAGATAGTCTGAGAATCTTTCTATAGCATTTCAGCTCAAAAGCCGCTATTCTCTTTCTTAAGGACTGAGAGATAGTCCACACGACTCACATCCTTATGTAGCCACAGGGAAGTTGCATGCTCTCAAAATTGTAATTTTGATCTCCTTGCTGGTGCTTAACCATAGACTTTTAAGGCTGTTCAATCTTTTCATTGCTATGGCCATCCTCCTTTTAATTTCTGTTGAATAGTCTCCACTGCTGTTTATTATAGAGCCTAGATATTCAAAGTTTGTGACATTTTCAATTTCTTCATCATTCATTGTTATTTTTGGGTAACAGCCAGTTTTATCTGTGGACATTATTTTCGCTTTCTTTAAATTCAAGAACAGATTTTGATCTTCACTGTGCTTTTGGACAGACAATATTAAATTGTCTATTCCCTCTACGCTGTTCGAAAGGACTGTCATCTGCATAGCGGACTTCCGGAATAGGGTTGCCACCAATTTTGAGTGGATCATAACTGTCACAAGTCTGGTCATTTTTGATATTTCTTATTATATTTTCTGTGTATATATTGAATATGTATGGTGAGAGAATGCATCCCTGCCTCACCCCCTTTTGCACCTCGAACCAATCAGATGTTTAACCAGCTGCTCTGATGGCTGCTTGTTGTTCATGATAAAGATTTTCAATCAAATGCACTAAATGCGCTGGAAACCCCATACTTTTCATAACAGTCCACAGTTTGTGGTGTTGGACACAATCAAACGCCTTGCTATAATCAATAAAACAAGCTTGAAGATCTACGTTGTATTCTCTGCATTTTTCAAAAATTATTCTCATATTAAAGATGTGATCCCTAGTTTCTCTACCCTGGCTGAAACCTGCTTGTGCTTCATCTAGCTCATATTATTACCTGGACAGAATTCTCAATTTCAGCACTTCCTACTACTGCACTTCAGAACTACCAAAAATTGCATTCAGCAAACACACATCTCACAGCAGACAAATTTTCTCCGTTTCATATTGTCATGGAGTCATAGCCAGGTTTTTTCAGGAAAAAACCGGTAGCTTGTGACATTCACTCAGTCTGTGAATACATTCAACTCAAGCATTCCAGGCACCATGGATCCTGTCTCTCACAGGATCGAAAACAAGACTGAGCTTTCTTACTTGCTCCGAGTTAAAATAATCAATTCTACTTCTCGTGCACTCTGAAGTTTCAATTACAATTTCATGATTTCCTCGGCTGGGCACAAATCAGCTTTACTGAATATTTATCTTGAGTTAGTATCACTCACTCTATACATTTTACACTAATTGACGCCATTCTTGCTCATAATTTATGTTTAGGGGTTGCTGTCTTCGTTTTCAAACAACGAGAAAATTTCCCAACAATAAGAAAATGACTTTTTACATGTATATGACAACCCATATTTTTTAGCCCAAACTTAGAAAAATTAATGATCTTAATTTCCTGTCCAATTCATGGAATCAGATGCACGATAAATTAAATAGACTTGATGCAATATCACAACTAGGTCTAAAAATTCATTAGGGAAAAGACAAAGATGATGAGAATAAATCAGGCAAATAGTAATGTAGTTTCTATTAATGGTATCCCACTCCAAGATGTGGAGTGGTACACCTATTTTGGCAGTAATGTAGCTGATAAAGATGGGGGAACTGACAGAGATATTAAAATATGAATACAAAAGACAAGAGTCGCTTTCATAGAACTAGGTGAAAAAGAAATTAAAACTAATACTAAACTTAAAATGTTTAGTTCTAATGTCAAATCATCATCATCATCATCATGTAGCAGGTCCTTTGCAGAACGTCGCTCTCATCACAGTCTGCCTGAAAGAAACTCGGTCTCTCGCCAGTTCTCCTGCCTCATATACCTTCACACTCAAGGAGTCACTCATATCCTGTGCCCATCTTTATGTCGGTCGGCCCCTGCCCCTCCTTCCTGGTACCATGCCTTCTGCTATAGATTTTTCCAATCCGTTGTGGCGCTTAATATGACCAAAATATTTCAGCTTCAGAGAAAGGATGCTGTTTATTAGGCAATCTTCCTTGATGTTCAGATCTTTTAAGATGTCAATATTTCTCCTCTTCTTTGTCCAAGATATTCTGAGAATGTCATATAGCAAATATAAAATCAGTACTACTATTTTTTAGAGCAGAAACTTGGAGAACAACTGAGGCAATTACTAATAAACTACAAACATTCATTAACTGGTGCCTGCATAGAATAGAGAGAATTAAATGGTATAATAGAATCACTAATGTAGGGTTTTGGGAGATAACTAAATAAGTTCCAGTGGACCAAGATGTGACAAAAAGACGCTGGCATTGGATAGGACATATGTTGAGAAAACCTGAGAACAATATAACTAGAATGTCTTTGCACTGGAATCCACAGGGGCATAGAAATAAAAGAAGACCCCCCCCAAAAAAAACATGGGGAAGGGAGCAGGAGAGTGAAGTTAAAAAGATAGGGAGGACATGGCGAGAGCTGCATGCAATAGCGAAGGATAGAATGATGTGGCGTGAGTTGGTTGAAGGCCCATGCTCCGTTTGGGGATAGAAGGCAGAGGAAGAAAGAAGAAAAAATATTTTAAACACATTCTGTATATAAGGTCGGCGTCCGTGGCTTAAGCGTTGCGAACACGCTCCGTAATGCCGGATTTGATCCCTGCTGCGGATGATTTGTCTTGCGCTGGTTTCGACAGTAGTACCGAGAGCTGACTGTTCAGAAAGCAATGGCAAACTACTAAACGTAAAATTTGCCTAGAAAAACCAGCCAACAAATGCTGGGGTTGGTTCTGCAACGTCCTGTAAAGGATACGCAACTAACTAACCTCTGTATATAAGATGACGCCTAATTTCAAGCTTTAAACAGTCTCATATAATTATCTGATCCTTAAATAGATCTAATCATTCATGTGTGGGTTTAGGGCACCCGCTGTATGGAAAACCAGAATAGACCCACTGGCTCCACAACAAGCATATCAAAGGAGTCGACTAATTGGGGGAATCCTTTGAAGTCCTCAATTAGTCAACTCTTACGACATGCTTGTTGGGGAGGCAAAGGGTCTATTCTTGTTCTTCCCACCTTGGGACCCCGGAACCCTCGCGATCCATTTTTAAATATAATATTGTAGCACAGTATCTCTCCAACTTCCTATCCACTTTACAATAATCACATAGTAACAAATACAACCGAACAGAAAAATACAATAAGCTTACGCAATTTCCTCTCCATTTCCTCACACCTACGGATTTCAGTCACAAAAGTGCGCTGAAAGGCGTTCACATTTTCATTAAGCTGAAAAAGAAAAAGAAATAATATACTTATTCAGATGTTAACAACATACATATTCAGTTTGAAAAAACAGTGTGCAGACGACTTCCGGTTAAAATGGACGCTAGACAGTGGCGCTGTTCGGAGCGGAGGCAAATTTTTTGCTTCTGCCGGACGGTGGCCGAAGTATTTTTGCTCCATTTGTAGACTGGATATAGTTTCGTCGCCCAGCTTCTGAGTTGAATGCATGGTGTGACCCTGTGAGCTGCGGATTGCATTTGGAATGTTTTTTCGACTGTGACCAAAGTGGTGTGAATTGCAGATTCAGAAAATGGCCCGATGCCGGTCGTGCAATGCTGGCACGTATTAAAATTGATCGCGCGGGCAACTGCTGATCTGTTGGCGACAAGTTCTGCTATCATCAATGATGAACTGCATTTCTAATGTTGGACTGTTTGTGTTAGCACTTCGGATGGCTACCATATGCGTTAATGCGAGTGTATGCTGGATATGCTGAGACAGCAGTCTGTCAATCTTTCCACAAGGGACTGTGATAAACATTCTGTGTGTTTTTCGCTGGCACAGGAGCGGAGCAAAGATGGGGTGACCCGTTTGCTATGAAGCTGAAACTAAGACTACCAGACTACCAGTGTGCAGACACAAAGACAATCAACTGTATTAAGTGGGCATCTCCGAAACAGGCCACTGTAGAAATTGTGGATAAGTAGCATCTATGAAATTCTGCCACTGCTGAATGGGCCAGGTATGCAGCTTCTTGTAGCGAAAGGGTTAATGTCAATCTATCCTCTTCTTGGGCATCCTCTTGCTAATGGATAAGATTTATAAAATAACAAGTATTTACCAGTTTTCATTATCCTGTCCATGAGGAATGACTGCTGCAAAATATGTTGTTACCATTTTATATTTTACAAATAGCACAATTTCAGATTCTTGTCACTTCAGACAGCATTACTATATAATACAGCTGCTAACTTTAAACATCAAAATATTTCTTTAATAAGGTATTTCTCTGTTAGAAAATTAAAAGCAGATAAAATTTTAAAACATAAGTTTTCAAGATCATGCAACAACTGATATAATTTAAATCAAATGAGTCTATCAGATGTGCACAATGGGACCAAAGCAAACTCTAGAGCATGTCTTGTAAGATTTCTTAGACTTTGCAAATCAGAGGGAAATCTGGCCCACAGGAGCAACTCTACAAGACAAATTATGGGGCACAGTGAAGATCTCAAGTGCAGCCATGCTGAAAAAAGATGCACAGTAAAATTTAATCACTGAAAAAGAATATAACTTAAATTTTTTAAAAATAATAGCAGAACTCACATCTTTGAACTGGACTTGCCCAAGTTCTCCTAGTTCAGAGACACAAGCGTAAGCAGCCTCCTTCTGCAGAAATACCTGGCAGAGCCGCATCTCCTCACTTCTAAATAAAGAACCCATTTTTACTGATGCTGGTCAGATGTACCGTATCAACTTCAAACAACTGTGTGTTCAATCATCAAGGTGTGGAATAAACTGAGGAGAAAATGTAAACTGTATGACTCAATTATCTTGATAAATGAACAAACATTTAAAACAAACAAATGAACACACTTATATTTTCAAAGGGTTAAGAAGTTGGTACTCAGGCCCTTCTAACATTCTGCCCTTCTCTTCTTCTTTTTCTTCGCGTTCACCGGCTGTAAACTCCAGCGGAAAGTTCTGGGTTATCGTCCACCTCTGGACATCAGTCTTGTTCCAGAACCTGAGTGTTACATGCACATCCATTTTACAGATCTGACTTACTTGTATGCAGATTGCTAGTTCCTTGCCTCTCAGGCAGATGCACTCCGACTTCGAAGTAAGCCCCAATTAGTCGACTATTACGACATGCTTGTTGCGAAGGCAGTGAGTCTATTCATGTTTTCCCCACAGTGGGGTCATGCAGTCCACACAGGGATCTGTCCTAATCTCCATCCATTCAAAATTTCATTCATACATCTGTTAACAAGTAATAGTGAACAGCAGCTTAATATTTGGAAAAGATCTGGAATGTACTCAAAATACACCTATATTTCTAACCACAGTAAACCAAAGTTACTGTAATAAATCTAGGGAACATATACACTGTTTCTAATGCATATTAGCAGGGTACCTTAGCAGGTCAAGTATTAAAACTTAGTTGAGGTTTCAACTTCACTGCAATTGGGTTTCCCCATACTTGCTTCATTCCTGTGCCAGTGAAAATCAAATGAAATGAACCTCACTGTCCCATCTAACAAACTGGCGAACGGACAATTAATCCTGGCACAGTCCAGAAATATTTATGCCCTGTGATGACATGTTCTGTGACAACATTCCCTTGATGACATGCCCTGTGATGACATTAAAGCCGCAGTTCTCAACCTATGTGTCGCGACATTTTGTAGGTCAAATGAGCTTCACATGGATTGCCTAAAACCATCGGAAAACACATTCACTGAAGTTATGAAGTAACAACAAAAATAATTTTAAGGTTGGGGGTCATCACAACATGAGAAACTGTATGAAAGGGCCACGGCATTAGGAATGTTGAGAACCACTGTATTAAAGAATACTATGTCACTTCTGAACTGTGATAGTCCGGACTATGCCCCTTCTCAACTGTGACAGTCTTGGCTATATATATTCATGAACTATTATCCTGCAGTTAAGTCAGCTGCCTATCTTTCAGTCCTAATGAATGCATTTGACGTTCATAGATTCCTACCGAGAAGCCCAGTGAACGCATTGCGCACCAGTTTTACGTCTCTCTTTACCTCTTGATGCTAAACCCTCTAGGACTTTGAGGTTTAATAGGATATCCTTAATCCTTGATATAGATGTTACATTCAAGTGTCACTATGACACAGATTTCCCTGCAAATCACAGGTCCAGGAAATTTCCTCAAAATTTAGGGACCATATTTATTACTTTTCCAGAAGGACATGAAATTCCCTGGGAATCCCGATTTAGTAAAGGAATTTTTTTGGTTATGAATTCAGGGGCAATAGGGTTAATACAATCTTTACTACAAAATGGACATAGATGCTTGAATAATGATAGAGTTGATTTATGCTGGTAGTTTTATCTACCAACATTATAGCAGAAAAGTGAGCAAAATGTGTATGTTTAATATATATATATATATTAAACATACACAATTCATCCATAGACCCTTCCACGACAGGGAAGTAGTTTACTAAATAGAAGTTGATTCTGTTACAACTATACAGGTAAAGTAAATATTTGTAGTTTGTATTAATTACTGTTTCTGAATATTACGTCTTTCTGAAAAGTTATCTGGCTATTCTATTAGTTCAATTTTCAAAACCAAACATAACCATTAACGGATAGGCACACATTTCCATTACTGAAAAAGAAAACTATATTTATGTATAAATGTATATATCCCAATTATAATCAGGTGGGTTGAACAAGTTACAAGATACCGTTATTTAAATTACTACTTCAATTTACATTATAATTATCACGACATTTTTTTTTTAAACACTTAAAATATTATATTATGAACTTAAAAATAAGCTTTACTCTAAATTAAACTGAAACCCGACAACCCGTTAAATTCACAAGCATGAATAATATATTAGAAATATATTTCTTCCAATTATAACCCAGATGGGTTGAACAAGATATCACTGTTTAAATTACCACTACTTCAATTAGCAAGTATATATACTTTTTCTTACCCAAACAAAACAAGACGTCGCTTCCTGACTGAAGTCTACACGTATGAAGGCAAACACAGGGATACACCCCCTTGTGGCTGCAGCAGACGGCGGATGACTTCCTGTCTCATGATGAAAGGGTGCAGTGACCCCAGCAGCCAGGGTTCACTTGCCAGATTTGGTTTTTCTGGAAAACGTTTTTTTTTTTTTTTTCTTAACGAAAATCGTCACGATCAAATGTTCAAACAGCATGGGGGAAAGGGGGGGGGGGTTATAATTGTGATTTAACACTGCATGCCACTAAGAGCTAAGAAAAGGCTGTTGTTTAATGTTCAAAGCCTTACAATAAAATAATGATTGACATATCCTGAAAGAACCCAAACTGAGGTAAATGGGTATCATTTTTAATAGAAGCCTGACATTCGGGAATCACGTGGAGGCAGTTGTGGTGAAATGCTAAAAAGGACTCGGTACTCTCAAGATTATGGCAGCAACGGACATGGCTCAAAGAATGTAATTCAGAGCGTTTCAGTGTGTGATCCTGTCGGTGAGTTGAGTTGAGTAAGAATTAACATCACAGCACTCGGGCCATTCCCGTGCATGCTCCGTCGTCATCTTCAGCAGCCAGCGCAGAGTTCCAATACTGATGGTACCGGTCACAATCTGGTTATATCTACGTCTTGCCTTTCCTCTGAGTGTAGTGAACCGGCCAGACCCTCCAGTCACACCTAGATGCCTCATTCTCGCCAGGCCATAATAATCTTATATCTCTACTTATTCCGTTGCTTGTTCTTACAGGGCCTTGACCACATCTGTCTTTACAGACATCAATTCACCACCCAGTGGTGCAGATCCAGCCAATATATCTGCCTGTTCATTACCTACCACGCAGGCATGGCCTGGAGAACAAAGTCATAGTATGCTCACTACCAGTGACCTTTCCAGTGGAGCTTGCCACTCTGCTCGAAGTATCCATGGTTTCACCTTTCTCATCATGTTTTCGGTCTGTTACAATTACGAAACGTGTTTGCATCTTGTTCTCTAGCCACCGGAGAGCTGCAGTTACCGCCTCCACATCAATTCTCATGCTAGATGTGGTTTCGTATGTCAGGCTGTCTTGCACTAAAGATTTTCCACTGGCTTTTGCTACGAACTTCCAGGTTCACCCTGTAAGTTGTAGATCATGGACTTGAAATGCTTACCCCACCAAAGAGTCAGCTGATAAAAGTTGATGAAACTAGAGAATAAAGACATGCGGGTAATTATGGGAAGTACAAGACTTTCACCGGTAGTATGTACGCGATTTATACTTACACTATCTACTTTTGCAGATAGGCTTACTTACAATCATTTCTCAGAGTAGCTTCAGACAAAAAGCACCTCCTGCATGAAGCCATAGGTAGAGCTAAGGATGACGCAAATTGAAGGCACAGACATGTGTGCAGGCTTAATAAATTTGGACGAGGAGAGCAGTAGGTCAAAGTGTCCGAGGAAGTATTATACTTGTGTAGAGTTCTGATAACTTTAGGCCGTGAGTGCATTGACTGGCCAGCTGGTGCTGCAGAATCGGAAGTTCAACAAATGATTCGTGACATTTCATGTGATTATCTATACAGAGGGCTCTGTGTTGAGATGTAGACTGACTGACTTTCTACCCCACTAGAACATCACACAAGCGATAAACACAAAGTGCCACCATGTGGGTGAGGATCACCGTAAGGAGGTCCCAGAAACCGCGTTCAGACAATTGGCCATATCTATGGCCTGCCTATATTGCAGCCCCTGGCAAAAGCCAGGGTGGGGCTTCAAAGAACAAAAAAATTTCGTCCTAAAAAGGACGTAAGGATTATAGTTATGATGATAGAGAGGTAGACGAAGTGCATGGGGGTTCATAGCAAAAACGAATAGACGTCGCTTAGTGCAACAAAGCCTAGCATATGATATCACAACATCGTTAGAGAATGGAGGTGAAGTTGGACGTAATCCCTGGGCGTTCCACTGGATTAAGAATCAGTTGCACACACATGTCGTAACTGTAACTGGCTCACAGAGTATGCTGAGAAAGGTGGAGACAAGCATGTTCGGTGCAGAGTGGCAAGCATCGCTTCAAATGTTTCGATTAGTTACCGTCCTTTGTATATTTTCTCCAGGTCCTGCTGGTGTGTTGGAAAATGAGAACGCAGCGGTGAATTCTTCTTCTTCTTCTTCGTGTTCACTAGCTGTAAATTCCAGCGGTAAATTCTGGTTCTTTATCCACCTCTGGACATTAGTCTTGTTCTAGAATCTGAGTATTGCATGCACATCCGTTAAACAAATATGACCTAACTGTATGCAGAATGTTGGTTCGTTGCATTTCAGGCAGATGCACTCTGAATTCGAAGTAGGCCCCAAATAGTCGACTCTTACGACATGCTTGTTGGAAAGGCAGGGTATATTCTTTTTTTTCCCATTGTGGGGCCCAGAAATCCACACGGGGAAGTAGTGAATTGATGTAGACAAGTTAGATGCTGTGATTGCCCTTTAGGAGAAAAAAGAACGGTGCGGACATACACATAGATCATTATGGTCTGAGGCTAATGGCCCTGCGGGGAGTTACCTGAGGATCTAGACGACGCTCAACACTCAAGGGAATGGCGAGAAGGGTGTATAATTAGACAATTTCTTGTTCCATTAAAACTGGAACTCTTCATTTGTTACTGAAGATGGGGACAGAGCTTTTATGTGAGTGTCCTGAGAGCTACGATATCTATTATTAGTTAAACAATTGCTACTCTTTTGAGTACATATTCATTTAGGACACAGTAACGCCATGATATACCAAGAATGCGTCTCATGCTTCGCACGCGGAAGGCATTCACTATTTTTGTTTTCTTAAGGAGCATACGGTCCAGGTTTCACTGGCGTAAAGAAATGAAAGTGAAAGAAAAAAAAATTCTGCATAGTTCACAGTTGATAACTGCAGTTTTCCAGAAACCTGGACATGTTAAATTGAAGTACAATCTGTTGCCCAGGTTTTAATAACAAGGGAAGGGCAAGTGCCAATACATCTTGGCGCCAAAGACGTTGCAGGAATTACCAGAGCAGCAGTGTAAACACTGCTGAATTTGCCCGGCTCTCTAGCGTAGTTGGCTAAACCGGATTGCGCGGAGACCGGGTGACGAACTCCTTGTGGTCGGGGTTCAGTCCCGGGGTAGGCAGAAAAGCCACATTTCTCCCAGATTTACGGTATTTACAATGGAATCAAGGCCGAAAGGTTGCGATATCCATGATACCGATCCTAAGGGTTAACAACTCATGGCTTCTGGATACTAAAACAACAAACAAAACAAACACCGCTGAACCGCTTTAGGGATTCCAGCTCCTGATTTGTCCTCAGGGTTTACTCCAGAAGCGCTTTCCCTAAATCGAATAATTTCACAAGGTAATGGAGGTTTCAGACCAGAGTTTGTCTTCTTCTTAATGAGCTACACTCCCGTGCTGACGAGCCTCATATGCCCGGTGTTGAAATCCGAATTTTCCTTCTGCTAGGTGTCCTGAGGGAAGGGGTGTTAGGGTTGGGATTAGTAGCTAATCATTTACACTAGCCCTTACCCCCCCCCCCCGCCCCTTTTTCCCCACATAATACGGTACTGTCCAGGGAAACCCCTAGGATTTCCCTACGAAATCTCGAAGTCGATGAGAAGTGGTAGCATAAAATTAAAGTACTGCTGGACTTTTGCTGTCAGTGTCAGATACTATAAGAGACGCACGCATTGAGAGTGCTTCCTGTATATATGTATGTAAGTTGTACCCCACCAGGACATCACACAAAGCGATAAACACCCGGTGACACAAAGTGCCACCATGCGGATAGAGAGGTCCCAGAAACCCCGTTCAGCCGTTAGGCCATTTTTATGGCACGACTATATTTAGGACCCCGGCAAAAGCCAGGGAGGGCTTCAAAAAACGAAAAATTGCATTTCACATGGGGACGACTGTTCTGAGATTGTTTACTAGGGGGTAAAGCTTAACCCCAATCCCTCGGCTTAACATTATTTAGAATCAGAATTTGGGAATACTGTACGGCGATATTCTGTGCATAGATTATTCCGTTACTATGTCGTCCCAAGTCCATGCCGTACGTAACAAATGTCAAACCCAACGACAGGTAGCAAAACGCCACCAACAAAATCAACTGTTGAAACTTCTACATTTGAGAACACGTCATTGACAGGCAATATCAATACGTTTATTTAGCAATTCTCCACAGATATAATGTGTGTCCATGCAATGAATATGTTACGATCGCTGTATTTACAGACCAGAGTGTGACAGCATAAACAAACTCAACAGGAAAGAACAAACATCAATTTTTAGACTTCGGACTGGACACTGTGGTCTTCGAGCACACCTGTACAGGATAGGCATAAAAGAATCTGCTGCCTGTGATTGTGGAGCAGAAAGTCAGACCCCTGAGCACATACTGCAGTACTGCCCTTACCTCTCCCAGCAAAGACTGTGCATCTGGCCCAGGGGATCCACATTGCGAGAGAAGCTATGGGGGACCGGTGGCGACCTTAAACGCACAATCCTATTTTTGACCCAGACGGGACTCAATGTGTAGCATGACTGATGTCGAACACAGAAGAAGAAGAAGAAGAAGAAGCTGTATTTAAGGACGGTAGGATAATTTCTTTCCTCCAACATAGAGCTCTGAGACTTTGCTCTCCCGCTAACTGCGGCATCAGGAACATATCATTACAAGCCTCCGTCATTCCTAATTCTCTTGTAACTAACTGTCTTCTGTCCAAATCTTCTGTCGGCAAGTGACGTCGTGTCTCTCGTCATATATCATATTCATCCGCAGTCGTCAATAGTGTGAATCTTCGGATTGCACACAACAAATACGACTTATTCTTTTTTATATTTCCACCTCCAGACTCGGTTTGATTTTCTAGTTGCATGTTCAGGGTTAGGCACAAGATTAGTAGGGTTGACAAATTTAATAGACACAACATTTAATAATTCTCATTTTTAATGCGTTGTTTATCTCTTTAGCTAAAAAAATTATAATATTCCGCCCAATTAAAATGTGAATAACACAAAAGACTAAAAGATGTCAACAGGAAACAGCGCGTTTGGTCTGGATGTTGATCGTGTGGAGTATGATGGCATATAAGAACGAATAACGTTTGCGGTTCTTTTTTTTTTCCAAACTTAGACAAAAATTGTTAAGGAGTTGATAGTTGACTAATATTTGCAGCAAGCAAACATATACCTGTGACTGATGAAATAACCAAATGGATATAGTGAATCCAAATTCGAAGAAAGCCAGGCGTCTTGAGTCTAAGAAACGGAAAGCAGCAGCTTTTCTTGCTTTGCTAGACGACCGCAAAGAGACACACACTGCCTCCAATTCCAGTGTAATTATTTTACACGTGTATTTTTGGGGTCTTCATTTATAGGTTGAAATTATAGTTAACAATGTTTAGAAAGGGGGGGGGGGGGTGTGCTGGTAGACTTGCACACCGTGGGTCACAGTGGGTTGGGGGGGGGGGGGGGCGTTCCAGGTCCAGAGTTATGGAAGAAAAACAAACTAAAAGTGCAAAAATACCAAACTAATAACTAATACTAATAGACCCACTGTTCGCTTTACGGTCGAGTCGTATTAGGCGACTAAATAGCCTATAGGGGTGTTTCTTTCAAAGTCATTTGTCGGAGTGTATCTGTTTGAGAGACAAGAAACCAGCAGTCGGTTGAAAAAATCCAGATCTGTAAAACGCTAAAGGGATGTCCATGTGCACACATTAAAACTTGGATTCTAGAAAAAGTCCAAAGTCTGGAATAGAACTAACGAGAAGTGGATGTCAAGGAACCAAAATTTTCCACTAGAGTTTACAGATAGTGGAACATAAGAAGAAGAACAATTTTGGGCTATCCTCCGAATAACGGTCACATATTATGTATTATGGCGGCCATAAAAACACCCTAACAGGGCCTCAGTCACATGTAAATTGCGGACTTCCAGCGACTTAAATTGCGTACTCTGGTGACTACCGCCACCGCTGAGAGTATCTTCCACGCCGCTACGTTAGAAATCAGTGTAATTTTGAGAGGAACCCAAAGCATGTATGGAAAGTTTTACAGTTTGATGATGAAAATGGTACTTGAATTCACTCATTAAGTCAGAAGAACATTTATTTCTGTATGTATGCTTAAATAAAGTACAAGTTCCTCTCTTCTTTTTTTCCGCATACGCCAGATGTATACTCTGGTGGATAATTCTGGTTGTTTATCCACTTATGGACTTGAATCGTGTTTCAGAACCTGAGTGTTGTGTGCAGACTGTTGATTTCTTGCCTCTCAGGCAGATGCACTCTGACTTCAAAGGAAACATTCTTAATTAGTCGACTCTTAAAGCATACTTATTAGCGGAACGTGGGTCTATTCTTTTTTTCCCCCACAGGTGGGCCACGGAATGCACAGTGGTAAAGTTCCTTACAGCTTACTTTTTTTTGCATACATACATGTTTCTAGATAGTTTGTAACCCACGTTGCGAATAGATCTATTAAATGTGTATGTAACTGATGCGAAGTTTTTTGTGTGACTGTTTCCTAAATGCTGCATTATCATGTTGTTTAGATGGCTGAGGCAAGCTCCAATGACACAGAGCTGTCGCAACCAGATGGTGAAATGCTCAGTGAAGATGTTCTTATGGAGATGAAAAGGATTGTTAGGGAACGTAAAAAGCAAGCCATGGTAAGTTGATAATTTCTGTTGTATCAGGAAATGGGTACTCCATGGCAGCTACAGCTGTCAAATAAAGTACATGTAAAGGACCCTTTTCCACACTATTTCACACACACATACACATAAACATAGATATGTATCTTCCCTTTAGAGACATACGGATGTAATTCGTGAACTATCTCCCAGTCTTTAATAAAGAAAATAGGGGCTTTTGAGCTGAAATGCAATAGAAAGATTCTCAGAATATCACTGACAAAGAAGAGAAGAAATACTGACATTTTAACAGATCTGAACATCAAGGCATCTTGTGCCGATTTGTCTATAAAAAAAGGCGTGGAAAAGGGTCCTTTACTTTTTTACTTATCAAGCGCCATTGTGGCTTGAAAAAATTATAATATTGGTACCAGGAAGGAAGGGCAGGAGTTGACCAACACAAAGATGGATACAATATATAAGGGACTCCTTGAATATGAAAGTACACAAGGCAGGAGAGCTAGTGAGAGACTGAGTTTCCTTCAAGCAGTCCGTTAATGAGAGTGACATTCTGCAAAGGACCTGCTGCATGCAAGAAATTTCCTCTTTGTTTTGCTGTTCTACATAAGGTATTGACAAAACCGATCTCCTTTGCTCCAAATCTGCTGCTTTTCTGCCTGTGTTATCCTATTGTGCAGTGGCTCTCAACCTTCCTGATGCAATGACCCTTTAATACAGTTCTTCATGTTGTGGTACCCGGCAACCATAGTTATTTTTGGCGACCCCTGTGAAAGGGTCATTTGACCCAAAAAAGGGGTCATGACCCACAGGTTGAGAACTGCTGCTATAGTGTAATGTATGTTGCAAAGTTATTTACTCTTTCCTTGTATCTTTTCCTCATTATTTTTCAGACAAAGCCCAAAGTGTTTTTGACTCTAGAAGCAATGATACCATTTCGCGTTGAACCTGGCCAGGAGGTGAATGAAGATGACATCCCACCTCTGTATGTTATGGATTTGCAGCAGTTGTTGCTGTATGGGCTGCAGGGCAACATGGCTAGCTACAAGCCCAGGTAGAGTGGAAAGTTATGATTCTTCTTCTTTTCCTTCTTCCTCTTCTCCTCTAGATCTGTTCTTAACATCTTTGAAGATGTTTTTTTGAAGAAAAATACTTGGCATTAAACAAGATCACAAACACTGAGGGTATTGGAAAGAGCAGGTATCACAATAGTATTCTCAGTGCTGTCTCCAAAAGCTCAGGTGGCTTTGTTACACTTGAGAAAGAGGATGTCCCTAAGGATATTATCTATAGTTAATTACAGATAGGTAGAAAATGTTGAGGCCAGTCTCTGATATAAAGATATTTGCAAGCAGGACATCAATGAGTTGAGTTGAATCAAGAATTGACATCACAGCACTCAGGAATTCCCATGTGTCCTCCGTCCTCATCTTTAGCAGCCATCACAGAGTTCCAATACTGATGGTACCGGTCACAATCTGGTTGTATGTCCGTCTTGCCTTTCCTCTGAGTGTGGTATCTGGCCAGATCCTATCGTTACACCCAGGTACCTCATTCTCTCCAGGCCATAGTAATCTTGTTTCTCTACCGATTCCGTTGCTTGTTCCCAAAGGGCCTTGACTACATCTGCCCTAGGACATGAATGATTTTAGATAGAATGGGTTCTCCATACCTTTTGGTAGATATTTTTCATGATTTATGTTGGCAGATTTGAATCTGCTGTGGAGCTTGCATCCTACTTTCCATTTTGGTATATATATATATCAGTTAATATATATATATATATATATATATATATATATATATATATATATATATATATATATAAAATGACTTATGTTAGAAAAATTTGATTAACTGATTTCACATGCATCCTATATTTGTTTACAGATGGTGTAAATTGCTGAGAGTGGGCAAGATCTCATCAGTTGTACTTCTGATGCTAGAAGGAGTAAGCTACAATGATTATCTAGCAAACAAAGGCAACTTTCCCTTTATATCCCAGACATTTACAAGTGTAAGTATTTTTTTTTCTTGTTCTCTCAGTGGAGCTTAGGTCTTCAAATCAACTGACACCGAATGCACCAGTCTGTTATGTTCTTCTGCATTTCATTTCATATTCCCTAATTTTTTTTCATTGCTACTCAACCAACTCACGCCAAGTCGTTCTATCCTTCGCTGTTGCGTGCAGCTCTCCCCATGACCTCTCCACCTTTTTTAACTTAGCTCTCTAGCTCCCTTTTCTATGTGTTTTTTTTTGGTCTTCCTTTATTTCTGTGCCCCTGTTCGTTCCAGTGCAAAGATGTTCTAGTTATATTGTTCTCAGGTTTTCTCAACATGTGTCCTATCCAACGCCAGTGTCTTTTCTTCACCTCTGGGTCAACTGGAACTTGTTTAGTTCTTTCCCAAAGCTCTACATTAGTGATTTCAATCATAAAATTTCCTCTGTTTTGGGCAGGCACCAGTTAATGAATGTTTGTATTTTTTCAAAAATTGGCTTAGTTATTCTCCATGTTTCCACTCCTTTCCACTCCAAAAGTTCTGATTTGACATTAGAATTAAAAATTTCAAGTTTAGTATTAGTTTTAATGCATTTCCTAGAGCTGTGAAAACACCCTTTGCCTTTTGTATTTGCATTACTGTTTCTGTAGCAACGTATACCCTCATACTTTTTTCTAGAAAAAAAGGTGCCGGTAGTCACCATTAAGTTTATAAATAAAATTAAAATATAAAAAGATGCTGTTACCACAAAGTGCGTATTACCGCAGTACTGAAAAATGCAGCCTTAAAAATGTACAGATACTGCGTAACGTTGTGTACCACCATTAAAAAAAAAGTTTATAGAGTTTTAATCCATCTTTGCAGTCATAAGTTAATGAATATTTGTTTTTAATCGTGATTGTTTTAGTCATTTTTCATGTAACTAGCACACACAGAATGCCGATACAATTCTAGAAAAGGGCAAGCTGATTATTATAATTTTTTTAAACAATCCCATTTCCACACCATCCTGGCAACTTGAAAACAAAGTGCCAGACCTATATTTCATGACCAGATGGCATCTGCTGCAGCTAACTGCCTTATCTCAAAGAACATTTTGAACGGGAAGTGAGTTGTCCCGAGGCATGGTGTCCACACTGAGTGCTGGAGGTCCAGGGTTCAGGCCTCAGTGAAGGCTGGGATTTTTCACGAGGACTTCTATTAATTTTCCATCGTCTCTGGTTAATAAGATCGGTTGCCAATGTGTATTGCGCGCATAAAAAAAAAAATTCCTTGGCAGTTGGAAATCAAAAAGAGTAGCCTAGGCAAAATTTTTAGCTAAAAATGTACCCACAGTGTTTCAGGATCATCACCGGTGCCACAAAGTATATGCACTGCACTGAGATTCTTGAGCTCAGAATGGAGTTATAAGTTGGATGAAACACTAATGGGTTATCACTGTTGTGCCATGATGTTCATCGATTGTTGTCTAAACAGAAACAGAACAGTGCTTACTGGGATGAATTCAAGTAAGAAGAGGAAAAAAGAGAATTGCCTGGCCAGCCACTTAAATCAAGTGTTGGAAGACAAAAATATGGCAGTCTTCTTCTTCTTCTTCTTTTTCTTCATTGCATTCATCGGCAGTAAACCGCAGGGTAAAGTTCTGGTTGTTCGTCCACCTCTGGACTTTATAGTCTTATTCCAGAGCCTGAATGTTGTGTGCACATCCATTTTACAGATCTGACTTATGTATATGCAGACTGTTGGTTTCTCGTCTCTCAGGCAGATGTAATCTGACTTAGAAAGAAACCCCCAATTAGTCGACTCCTACGACATGCTTGTTGTGGGGGCAGTGGGTCTATTCTGGTTTTCCCCACAATGCGGCCCCAGAACCCACACAGGAAGAGACAGAATTGAGGAAGAATTGGGACTCATTCTTGCGTTAGAAGTAAAAGTCTGGCCGGCAAACTACACTCAGAGACAAGACCGACAAATAACCAGAACACAACATTACCATTAGTATTAGAACTCTGCGCTGGCTGCTAAAGATGAGGATGGAGCGTGCATGGGAATGCCCTGAGTGCTGTGATGTCAGTTCTTGACTCGGCTTAACTTCTACATATTCACCGGCAGTAAACTCCAGTTCTGGATTTTCATCCACTTTAGGAGTTTAGTCTTGTCCAGAACTTAAGTTCTGCATGCGCATCCATTTTACATATCTGGCTTTATTTGTATGCAGACTATTGGTTCCTTACCTGTCCAGCAGATGCACTCTGGCTTTGAAGGGAACCCCTAATTAGTCGACTATTACAACATGCTTGTTAGGGAGGCAGTAGTTCTATTCTTTTTCCTCGCCATTATGAGGCCCTGGAACCCACAAGGGGAGTAACTGGGTAGTTGTTATTTTTGTATGAAGTACTTATGCTGGGCTCTGTGTTAAAATATGAATCATCATTTTTAGCCACTTTCTTATTCTCAGTTGTAAAGATTTGTTGATTTTTCTAAACGAAAGACTGTTTTATGAACATGACACTTAAAGAAAGGTGCCAGTACTGCGTACTGTTGCGTTCAGCCAGAAAAAAGCCACGAGCCGTAGCACATTGAGCAGATGGTTCTAGACTCATATCTTTATAGACCAGTCAGCACTAGATGGGTGATTTTTCTTCCACATCACGTCGACCGACTTTACTTCCCATACTTCCCAGGACATTACCTGGTATCAGAGATTACCCCTTGAACGATAAATTTTTCAATGTTACTGTAATAGACACTTTGTGGCGAGTACTAGTACCTAAAAGACACTTTGTGGTGCGTACCAGTATCTTTTTAGACACTTTGTGGCAAGTACTAGTACCTAAAAGACACTTTGTGGTGCGTACCAGTAACCTTTTAGACACTTTGTGGCAAGTACTAGTACCTAAAAGACACTTTGTGGTGAGTACCAGTATCTTTTTAGACACTTTGTCGCAAGTACTAGTACCCAAAAGACACTTTGTGGTGAGTACCAGTAACTTTTTAGATACTTTACGGTGAGTACCACAAGAGACTGTTCGTTTCTTTATTTCCACCACATGGAACCACTGATAAGTTTCTTGGGTTTGTTTATACAGTACACAGAGATGGTTTGTCCAAGACAGTACATGCAGACACTTGATGGTGAACTGTACAGTGTGCCACTCAGTGTTTCTCAACTGAAGAAAGTGAATATCAGAGGTAATATGCACAGCTTTTGAAATCCATGTCAGAATGGGGACTTTTAACAATTTGTCTGGACTCCCATGTTTGCCAAGAGGAATTTGGAAGAGGGGGGGGGGGGATGCTGTGATGATAATCCCCACTTCTTCTTTTCTCTCCTTCTGGAATGCCTCACAGACATAGGGCATGAAGAGATCTCTGTTCACTTCGAATAAAGTACTTTTTAGCGTCTCCGAAATTTCTGCGGTCCATATTCTGCAGGGGTCAGCCTCTGGGTCTATTTCCACTGTATCTATAACATTGCTGTCTGTGGTGCTCTGTCTGATGCCAGTCATGTTACATGGCTAAACCCTTTGATTAGTTGTCTGCTTATAAAGTTCAGAACTGGTGCTGTGCCGAATCTCCTCCTGATATCGTTGTTCCTGAGTCGATCTTTCCTCGTTACACCCAGCATAGTACGTAAATATTTCATTTCTGTCCTGACTATTTTCCTTCTGTCTTCTGAAGACAGTGTCCATGTTTGACATTGATAGCATAGCATTGGGTTGTTAAGAATATTGTGTTGAACAATGTTCTTTTAGTGTTCATTTTCACATGCTTGCATTTCAGAATTGGTGCCATTTGGCTTTATTGCATCTTTGTTGGATTTCTTTATTAATTCTTCCGTCTTCAGAAAAAATGCTCCCCAGATATGTAAAATCCTTCATGTTCATCAATTTTGATGTTGGTGGCTCTTCCTTTTCTGGAGAATGCATAACTTCTGTTTTGTCTACGTTGATATTCATATCATAGTTGTCACATTCTGAGTGGAGTCTGTTAATATGCTCTTATAGCTGCTGTTGGTGCTGTGATTGCCTGGTCATAGACGAAAAGCATTTCATTTAGTAATTCTCTGATGTTGTCCCCTTCGCTGGTGTCAGCTGACTGGCAAATTTAATCTATGTATATGATGAACAGTAGTGGTAATAGAACACACTCCTGTCTCACTCCAGATCTAATTTAGAACTTTTCTGACATTCCTGTATTTGTTCGAAATGCGCATTGACTGTTTACATATAAACTCTTGCACAATTTTTTTATGGTGCCCGTTTACTCAGTAATACTGTAGTACCTTCCATAATTTATCCCTATTAACTTGATTGAAAGCTTTCTCTTGGTCTGCGAATGTGATGTGTAATTCTTGATCAAATTCTACCATCCTTTCCACTAATTGTCTGAGTTGGAATATTGCATCAGTACAACTTCTGTTCTTCCGACATCACAAGATCTCTTCATTTACTACCAGCACTAAGCCACTGTTGGTTTGCTAGACCAGTCACAGTTTTCAAACTTCCTAGAAGGTCACAACTTTAACTAGTCTATCACATTCAGACTTTACCATTGGAATTGCAACTCTTCGCTTGCTGCTGAATATAGGCACTGAGCACTTGTGGGAGTGTTCCAAGTGCTGTGATGTCGATTCCTAATTCAACATTCAGACTAGTGTAACACAACTTCCTCTCTAGGATTTCCGAAACTGACTCCAGTTAGATGCTGGCCGAAAAATAAACACCCCCTTGCCTCACCATCTTGACCACAAGTCCTAGGCTTATTTTGTATAGGTCTATCCTAGGTGCAGTTTGATTCGGCATTTGCTATGCCTTCCATTATATTTAACCATGAAGTGCATTGATGAGCATATGGTACTAGCCCCAGATTTCAGAAGATCATCAAAGCTTAGTGGGTGATGTGGCTGGCTGTCTATCTTCCTAGAACATTTCCATTTAGACAGGGTTGACTTGTTACTGTAGATTCAGACCTATAACCAGCAGGCCGACAGGCTTCTTTTCTTTCTCTTCTTCTTCCTCTTCGTGTTCACCAGCAGTAAACTGGCAGAAAGTTCTGGTTGTTTGTCTACTTCTGGACTTTAGCATAACCCAAATTAGTTGGAGTTTTTTTTTTTGGGGGGGGGGGGGCAATATTTTTGTTAATTGGCAAGGGTCTGTTATTTTTCCCCAGGGGATGGGCCCTGGAACCCACATGAGGGCTTAAATATTACTTGTTAGATTTTGCAACTAAGGCTTTCTGTCAGGATTAGGTAAAAAAGATAAAACACAAAAACAAGGTAAAGGATCCCTTTCCACACCTTAAAGCGTATTGGGCATGTAGGATAGACCTATATTTTATATACTAAGTGGCACTTGGTGGCTGATATGGTCAGCATTAAGCCAGCCGCCTTTACTTCCCAGGACTTTACATGGTACCCATTTAAGGCTGGCTGACCAGGACGAGGTAGCCAACACATTATGCCACCCGGCTTTATTTTGTTACTTTCAGCTGTTTTTCAGTGTTTGTACTGTCATTATTGCTAACACTGTGACTGTCTTACTTCACAGTCCCGAAGGCCATCAGGGATTCAGTTGTTGCCAAGATAGCACAGCCGGTGGGCAAAGCTGGCTCGGAGAGGTTTTCACGCACATGTTTGCTTCTGAGCACCTATCAGATGATGCTGGAAGGGTACCCTTTGCCCGTGCAAACAAATATTGGTGAGTTTTCTTGTTGTTGATGACACATTGCTGCTTGCCTGATTTTGTTGTATAGTAAATGGTGGGGGAGCTTGTGTTTCTCAATGACCCTGAGAGCTATGCTGGCAGTAGCGTAGCTACCAGCAAGAAAAGCCGGAAAGGTTGAAGGTTAGAGAACAGACAAAGAGAGCCACCCTAGTCTTCCAGGTTGGGGAGTTAAAGCGTTAGGCCGACACCCCCACCTTCGTAAAACTTTATCTCGTCGCAAAACAGATATCTAAGCCTCGATTTCAGATGGATTTAAACGGACAACGAACCTGGAACGTTATAGGACTTTTGAGACAATGGAGAGATAACGTTCAGGCAGACCTGCAAACACTTGGTGTCACCAACTGGAAAGAGATGGCCAACCAGAGAGATGAATGGAAGCGGGTGATATCTGCAGCAATGAACCTCAAGGGCTCGGAATGCTGAAGAAGACATTGTGATAGAATAGGTTAGATTTCCATTTCCAATACTTATATTTTATTTACTAACTGAAAAATGACAAAAATTTAAATACCATTCTGCAGTTATTGCATGTGTATGCTTTTGGCTTAGCTGAAATTACAGTCTGTCAATTTTTTTGTTTTTAACAAATTATTGTGATGGACATTCTGTGTGGTTTTTGTTGGCACAGGAGCTGAGCAAACATGGGCTGGCCTGACCTAGTTGCTTTGAAGTGGAAGCTGCGATAACCTGATTCTTAAATCAATCATAGCCACAATAAAATTTTTCTGAACATTGATGTTATGTTAATCACATTGGGATTGCCTAGGTTAGATTGCCAATACTTATATTCTATTCAGTCGAAATTTTATGTTGATCACATCGGGATTGCATAGGTTAGGATTGTCAATCCTTATATTCTATTCAATCGGCGTCTGTGGCTTTTTGTTGTGAACGCGCTTTATAATGCCGGGGTGCTGGGTTCTATCTCAGCTGGGGATTATTTGTCCTACGTTGGTTTTTACAGTGGTACCGAGAGCTGACCGCTCAGAAAGCTGTGGTAAACTAGTTAATGTAAAATTTGCCTAGAAAAACCACATCAGCCCAAAAATGCTGGGGATTGGTTCTGCAATGTCCTGTAAAGGATACGCAACTAATTTTATTTGCTATTTACATATTTGAGAAAGGACACAATTTAATTACCACTATGGGGTTTATTCATCTGGTGGAAATTAATGCTGTTATTGGGTTCCGGACTTAAAAATGTTTATTTTGTTTCCCGCTTCTGTTCTTTTACACATGCTTCCTTCTTTTGTTATGTTATATCCAAAGAAAAGTCCATATTTGGTGTCTGTGCACTGTGTGTTGTGATGTTGATTTATATCAGTCAAGGCTGCAGTGTATATTTTCTATTGTTATGGTTTACTTTTTTTTATTTTCAGCCATAATGTGCTATACTCTGTTTTATTTGATTACAGGCAGATATCGGGATTTTGTGTTCACCAAAGAGAAATATGCCAAAGTGACAGCAGATAGCCCGCTGTATGCACTGGATTGTGAAATGGTAAAATTAAATATCTTTACATTTCTTCTTCATGTCACCTCCTGGTGTCTCTTTAGTTTGTTTTTTTTCAACCCTAAGCAGTTTTTACTTCAGCACATTATACCCTTACCTGCAGGCCTGAAGGTTTTGGGTTTAAATCTGCATTGAGACAGGTTGTAAAAAAAAAAGGCTTTAACGCCTAGGTTGACCCAATCTACAGGCCCTTAGCCTTTGCTGGCAGCTGGTTTAGGAGGGAAGCTCTGACCGGCGGACAGATAAAGCACTGCTCTTCTGACCTGGCAGCTTCTGCAGCCTGCTTTTTTTCAAACGTACTGGTGTTACCTTTCCTTTGGAGTAAACAAGGCAGGTCAAGTGAGGGAACATATGGTCTCTATAGTACTGCCCAGGCTTTGTGCTTTGGAGAGGATTACACTTGCCATCACCATGGGCTGAGTCCCATGCCTCCTCCTAGCGCAATATAACACTATTGTCTGGAAAGATGAAAAGGTGCCAATCACGACCCAGTCTAAAACAAGTACCAGGTAAAAGTCCTGGAAAGTAAAGATGGCCATCGTGATGATAAACGACATCGCCTATCGAGTGCTGGTTGGTTTATAAAAATGTGAGTTACTCTTACATATACCCCACAGTTTATAGATTCATTGAACAAAGTTAATTGATGTGACATTTTCTGGTTAGGTCAGACTGGAAGCTAGGTCATTTTATTTCATGCACTGAAGTCTTTTTAGGTTATTGTTTTATCATTGTCCTCATCGACGGGCAGCAGGTCCTGTGCAGAACGTCACTGTCGATATGGCATACCTGAAAGTCTCTCTTTCTCTAGGCAAGTATGCAGCCCTATGTGCTTTCATAGCCAGTGCATCTTCAGTGTCATTTATCCACGTTGTAATGTCTGCCTCATTTTCTGGAAACTACACTCCATCACCCCTCTCTCCGGGCCACCGGGACGTATGTGCATATCGACATATTGTTGATTTATTTTATAATATTTTGTTCAATACAAGTTCCAACTCATGTGTAGGTAATCCTTGTTTTATATGATCACAGGCTGCAAATCTGTTCTTAGATGTAGTTTGAAACTGTTTCAGTGCACAACGACAGCCAGAAAGAATGAATTAACAAGAGTGTCCGTTGTCTCAGAGACTGGGAAGGTACTCTATGATACTCTGGTGAAGCCAGCAAACAGAATCATCAATTATCTGACTAGGTAAGGGGAAAGTTTTCTTATATTCAGTTACATGTTCCCCTTGCGGGTTCCAGGGTCCCATTATGAAGGAGATTTGGTGCTGAATTGATGGATGACAAGCTAAAATGTTGTGAGAGTCCTTTGGGGGAGCGAATGAACTGTGCCGAGGCACCAGTAGATCATTACGGTCTGAGGAGAAGTTACCAGGAGATCTGGCTGCCATTCAGCACTCATGGTAAAAGTGCCACAGATATACAGTCAGACAGTGGTGCCATCGAAATTAGAACTCTTTGCTTGCGGCTGAAGATGGGGATGCAATGCTTTTTGGAGTGTCCGGAGTGCTGTGATATCCATTCTTACTTTCGCATTCAATATTTTTAAAGAGGGAACAAAGATAGATCACCTGCCCCCTAAAAAGCATGTCATTAATGTAGACAAATTAGGGATGTATCCTTGGAAACTGAAGTGCAGCTGCCTATGAAACGAGGAACCAAACCAACAGGCTACATATAAATAAGGCAGATCTGTAAAACTGATGTGCATGCTAAACTGAAGTTCTGGAATATATCTCCAAAAAGTCCAGAAGTGGATGAACAACCAGAACTTTCCACCAGAGTTTATGGCCGATGAACGTGAAGAAGATGAAAAGCTAGACTCAAGATGTGATGAATCATTTACACTTGATAGCAACAGCGGTAGAATATCTGGTTATGGCAAAAAAAATTTGAAATAATAATTGTGGCAAAGATCTATCTAAAGTAAGCTGTAGAAGTGATAACTGTTGGTAAAATGACAAGCATAAATATCTGTATGGACATTTTTCCACGCTATTGGGCATATAGTGCTAGACCTATATTTTATAGACCAATCAGTACTTGGTGGATGATGTAGTAAACATCTAGCCAGCCACTTTTACAGGAATTTACCTGATACCCATTTTAAGCTGGGTCTACCTGGGAGCCGAAATCATTTTGAAATAAAAAAAAAAAATCCAGTTCGATGTACATTTGAACCTACAACCTACAGGTCTGAACAAGCATCTAGCTCAGTGGTTTTCAACTCTTGTCACCCCCTCCCCCATCCCCTCAAGTATATGGCGAGACCTTGCACACCCCAGCCCAACAGCGCACACACCAGCTCAGTAGCACACGCACCAGCCCAACAGCACACACACCAGCTCAGTAGCACACGCACCAGCCCAACAGCGCACACACCAGCTCAGTAGCACACGCACCAGCCCAACAGCACACACACCAGCTCAGTAGCACACGCACCAGCCCAACAGCACACACACCAGCTCAGTAGCACACGCACCAGCCCAACAGCACACACACCAGCTCAGTAGCACACGCACCAGCCCAACAGCGCACACACCAGCTCAGTAGCACACGCACCAGCCCAACAGCACACACACCAGCTCAGTAGCACACGCACCAGCCCAACAGCGCACACACCAGCTCAGTAGCACACGCACCAGCCCAACAGCACACACACCAGCCCAACAACAAACACCCCAGCCCAACAGCGAACACACCAGCTCAGTAGCACACGCACCAGCTCAGTAGCACACGCACCAGCCCAACAGCGACACACACCAGCAAAACAGCACACACACCAGCCCAACAGCAAACACACCAGCCCAACAGCACACACACCAGCCCAACAGCACACACCCCAGCCCAACAGCGAACACACCAGCAAAACAGCACACACACCAGCCCAACAGCGAACACCCCAGCCCAACAGCGAACACCCCAGCCCAATAGCGCACACCCTAGCCCAACAGCGCGCACACCCTAGCCCAACGTAACAAAATGTAATTAAAAAGAGGACAACAAGAAAAATCCAAAGTACTGTTAAGGAGAACTTAGGAACTTGGAAAAAAATTCCACATAAATGTCAAATAATAAAAGAAACAATCACCAAAAATAGGTAATTCAGTGTCCAAATATCAGTGGGATGTTTGACACTGTTTTGTCTTAATGAAATCCGCTATTTTTTTGGTCTGATGTTGGACAAGTCACAATGGGTATCACTCTCCACATCAAGCTGACAATGCTGTTTTGTTTTCATGACTGTGAAAGCTAAAGAATCAGATTATTACAAGTACAAACACATTTAGTTTAAAAATTGCTTGACAACTAGTCTAGCTGCTACACCACCACTGTAGCTTCTTTTAAAGGTTGTGCCTGTGGCATCCCATTTGTGGGTTCCATAGCCCTATGCAAAAAAAAAAAAGGGGGGGGGGGGGTTCAAGAAGTATCTTATGGCGCACAGAGCAGACCAGTAGTTGATATGTGGTGTTGTCAGGTTACAGGAATGAACTTCTGTAGTTCAGTTCAGTATTATGTCTTGTGACAAAAAAAGATCATAGCAGTTTTTTTCTTATGTGAGTTTTAACACATGAAAACAGTCGAATGCACAATTTATTGCCAGGAACATTTCACCATAACTCATTTATGGAAGCCAAAATAATAAACCTGTTCAGTCCAGAATTATGAAGACAAAACGAAATGTTCTTGAGCCTGCATGCCTTGTTGAAACAGGCCGCTACTTTTGAATGTAGTCAATTTTGTGTTTCAGTTAGAAGGATTCATTTATTTGCTTCATTTTTGTTTATTTGTTACTTTAGTATGCACGCAGTTAGATACAGCGGAAAATGCCAGGCAATAAATTGTGCAATCTACCGTTTGTGTCTTCTTTGTAAAAATAGAAAAGGTAACTGAAGGATGATTGCTGTGTATGGACAGAAATGAGTTTGTTTACATTCAGATGTTGAATCTCTTGGCAAATAGGTACAGTGGTATCACAAAGCAGATGCTTGACCCTGTCACTACAACCATTGAGGATGTACAGAGAGATATCAGAAGTCTGCTGCCCCCTGATGCCATACTGTGTGGGCAGTCACTGAATGGAGATCTCATAGCATTGAAGGTTTGAATGTTTTATGACAGGATTTAACCCCTACGCCCAGAAATCCTTGTGGGGAAAAAAGGGAGAGGGGGTGGCGTAAACCTAGGTTTCCCTCCACCCTAAAAAAAAAAAAGATTCCTTAAAAACCTTTTTTAGGCTGCACATGCAAAATATAACTAAAAATAATAAAATACCTATGTTTTTATGGATTTTATCATTGTTAAACCCTTAAACCCTAGGAAGTATGATCACAGAAGATGGTAGAATTGACAGAGATAAAGAAACCAGATGTCAGAAAGCAAGTGCACTTATATACCAATTGTCACCATTATTAAGACATCCAAGCAGAACTATGAGTGCAGAAAGACAGATTATTAATTGCATATTCATTCCACCATTAAGCTACCAGTGCCAAACATGGACACTGTCTAAAGCCCATATATGCAAAATCACCACCTGCAAGATGAGGTGCCTGAGGAGAAAAGCAGCCAACCTAACCATCCGAGATCGAGTGAATAATGAAACTATCAGGCAAATTGTGGGAACGCACCTTGTACTAGATTCATCGAGAAACAGCAGATCAAGTGGTTTGGCCATCTCGTTAGAATGCAGCAAGATCAAATACCATCACAAGCACTACATCTCAGAAGATCAGCTACAAGAGCAAGAGGATGGCCACGGAAAACATGGATCGACAACATTAAAGACACTCTACGGCTTCACGGCATGACAATAGCCACTGGCAGCCATTATGCACTGGATCGCAAATTATTCCTCCCCACGACGCTTAATGGCATAAGTGGTTTAAGATGATGATGATGAAACCCTTATTAGATTAGCGTTCTTGCATTTAAATAGTACGGCAATAGAATGCTGAAGTTTGGTTTAGGTAAGAGGGGGCGTAGCTAAAATGACTGCACAGGGGCGTCAACATCCTAAATACACCCTGTACATAGTTCTTTAACACACTTTAGTAGCTTGTTTCATTTCTGTAATTATATAACACGATATAATTGCTTGTTTCAGATGTTTCATCCATATGTGATAGACACAAGTGTTATTTTCAACATGTCAGGAAATCGTTATGTGAAAGCTGGGTTGAGAAAACTGACACAATTTTTCCTAGGGTAAGGGTTTTATGTCTCTTGGGTAAGATTTTATTTTGCATTACAGGCTTTTACAAATTTTTTCAAGAGCTTTTGCTTTCAATTTTCACATATGAAGCCTTCTGTCTTTTACTTTCTCTTGAGATCTTTCCATCTCTTTCTGATTTTACTTAATATTTCTAATTATTTGTGTGCGTGTTTTGTTTGGTTAACTAATATGTCTTTAACCTCATGCATTCTTTGCAGATTTTTTTTCCTTCAAATTTGACGTTGGCCCCATGGTCAACCCAGCCTTAATAGTTCCAGGTAATGTCATTGGAAGTAAAGACAATTGGGATGATGTTGATCACATCAATCATCGAATGTGATTTGGTCTATTAAACAAAATGTTGGTCTATCACTGTATGCCTGATGCACTAGTTCCTCATGTTGTGGTGACTCCCAACAATTACATAATTTTTGTTGCTACATAACTGCAGTGAATATGTGTTTTTCCATGGTCTTAGGTGACCCCCAAGGGAGGGGTCACGACCCACAGGTAGAAAATTCATGCACTAGAGGCATTAAAGGTGTCCTTTGTGCGTTTTTAAGCATGAAAGCTTTCATCAGTTAGTTTTTTGATGTGGTTTGTCTCTTATCCAGTGATGTGTGGTCATCATTTTTTTTAAAACTGGTGCCATGAATGTAGGGGAGTTGGAGAAAAAACAAAACAAGTACAGTCTTTTTGATTTACGACCGAGTTTGTTCTAACAGGTCATATTTCGAACTGGTCATAAGTCAGGTTTGTGTTTTTCAATACTGTTTTCATTCAAACAAGTTATAAAAAGTATACATAAAACACAAAAATTATTTACTTTATGTGTGTATAATTATTGTAAATAGGCATCTATGTATACTTTAGGCGTCGGTTCCTGGAATGTTTTAAAGGTGTATTTTTTTTTAAGCATAAAAGAAAGTACAATCCCCAAAAAAGTTTTGTAAGTTAAAGTTTGACAGTTTATGTCTTACCCAAACTGTATACTTTTGTTACAGCTACACGAGTATCGAGAGATGATATATGTAGGTGTTCTTACATGTGGACATGCCCCATGTGGGTTCCGGGGCCCCATTGTGGGGGGAAACAAGAATAGAACCGGTCGCTCCCCAACAAGCATGTAGAAGGAGTTGACTAATTGGGGAACAACCAACAGCATACAAATAAGCCAGTAAAACAGGATGTACACGCAAAACTCAGGCCCTGGTACAAAGCCAGAGTCCAAGTGGATGAACAACCAGGACTTTCCAGCGGAGCTTAAAAACCAGTGAACAGAGAAGGAGAAGACATGTAGACATGAGATGCTTATGAAGAGTAAATCTTGTTATTTAAAATCTGTTTTGTAATTGTTTTTAAAAAGTTTTTTTGTTTATGTGGGGTAAAGGCAAAACATACCTTTAAAAGGAGTATAAATGCAAAATAAAGATAAAAAGTAACTCTTTTGGTACCACATAGTTGTTACTTTTAACTTCTTCTACTCCATGTAAAGATAAAAAGATCCCTTTTTATGCCTAAGGCACATCGGGCACATGGGAAGAACGTCCCATATTTTTACAGACCAATCGGCACTGGGTGGGTAATGTGGTCATCATTATGCCAGCTGTCTTTACTTTCCCAGGACAGCCATCCTGGTACCCATTTTAGGCTGGGTCGACCTGCGACGCCCCACACCATGAAAGAAATTCATGCAGCCAGCAGTGGGTTTCAATCGCGGTAGGTTGGAATTACGAGCCGGACTCACAATGCCTAAGCTAAGGACGCCCCTTTTACTCCATGTAGTGGAGCTTAAAAGGGCCAGATAAATACATCTGAAGGAGTTCAACAGAGTCACTATGGGATAGGAGTTTAAGTTAGTTGCGTATCCTTTACAGGACGCTGCAGAACCTTACTTACTTAGTCTCTCCTCTTCTACTTTTAGGGGGAGGGGGAAAAAGGTTTGCCGGAGAGATCACCAGACTTCTCTATCAGCAGTTTTATTTCTGGCTTTGTTCCTTTCAAGTCCTCTGTCACTCAGAGACTGACTGTCAAATGTCTTCCAAGCGAACCCTGGATTGACCTAGTGGTATGTTTTCCTGGTTCTTAGCCTCCTATGCCTGCCAACATGGCTGATTTTCTCCCATTCTGCATACATGTCCAAATCTTGACGTATTGCCTGATTGCAAACTTTGTCCCTTTTTGTCACTTCGACCACCTTTCTCAAATATCTCATTTCTGAGGCCTGAAGCTGGCTTCTGTGAACTGTTGTCATTGCCCATGACTTACACCCTTAAGTCAAGACTGGCACATAGGTAGAGCGGTAAATAGCCATTTTCGTCATCTTGTAAATTTCTCTTTTGCTAAGAAGCCCTCGGTTAATGGGCTGGAAAAGTTTCCCAGCAGCTGCTTTTCAATTAGCCTGCAATTCCTTTCACTGCACCTGTCTGAAGGCCTTCGTTTGGGTCTATTACAACTCCAAGGTATTTAAATTGGTTGGCCTACTCCAATGCATACTGTCCCATCATGAACCAACCTCAGTATTTTTTTGGCTGTTGCCTGTTTTGCTAGGCAGATTTTACTTTCAGTAGTTTGCCATTGCTTTCTTAATTATCAGCTCTGGGTACCACTATCAAAACCAACATAAGATGGTCTGTTGCCAAATTGCCTGCATCTGGGATCAAACCCAGCACCCCAGCATTAGAAAGTGTGAGATAGAAGTAAACTAATAATTAGGATAGAAAGGGTTCATATAACACCTATTTGTATTAGATGACAGTATGAACATCATAGTATCATTTGTTTGTTTGTTGATTTTTGAACAAATTTCCGTCATTGAGGTGTCAGCTTTCTTTCGACTGAATTAATTACATTCATTAGCTGCATATAAAAAAATAAGGGTGCCTGCAGTTTTCATATTATTTGTTAATGAAGACTTTGACCAAAACATTCACTTGTATCTAAGTACATCTTTTCTTTTGTTGACCCTCTTAAGCATATTTTATTCTATATTTATTTAGTTTTGATGATAGCCTAATATCTTAGGTTGTTTAGTTTCTACTAATTTACCATTGCTTGAATTTCTTGCCCAATCTTCTCTTTCAGACGAACTATTCAGAACAGCAAAAGTGGTCACAACTCAGCAGAAGATGCCACAGCAACTTTAGATTTAGTCAAATTAAAACTCACCAAAGGTAATAATGGATTGTTATAATACATGCATCATTAGTCACAGAACACTCTTTTCATGATTTATTTTCCAGCATGGCAATGTTTCACTACAACAAATGCCCATTCTGTTGTCTTGGTGGTAGCATGTAACTAGGTTGCAAAATTATGAGATGTGACTAAGAGACGGCACATAATTAGACTGTAACATTAGTGGGGAGATGTGATTAGGAAGCAGCTCATAGTTAGACTCTAACATTAGAGGGAAGATGTGATTAGGAGACAGCATGTAATCAGATTGTAGTATTAGTGGGAGATGTGACTAGGAGACAGCATGTAATCAGATTGTAGTATTAGTGGGAGATGTGACTAGGAGACAGCATGTAATCAGATTGTAGTATTAGTGGGAGATGTGACTAGGAGACAGCATGTAATCAGATTGTAGTATTAGTGGGAGATGTGACTAGGAGACAGCATGTAATCAGATTGTAGTATTAGTAGGAGATGTGACTAGGAAGCAGCTCATAATTAGAGTGTACTATTGGAGGGAAGATGTGACTTCAAGGCAGCTCATAATTTGATTTTAAAATTAGTGGGGAGACGTGACTTTGAAGCAACCATTAATTAGATTGTAACCTTAGTGGAGATACAGTCTATAAAGCAGCTCATAATTAGAATGCAACATCAGTGGAGATATGACTATGAAGCAGCATGAAATTTGATTGCAACATAGGGGAGATGTGACTAAAAGATAGCACGTAATTAGATAGCAACTTTAGGGAAAATGTGACTCAGAAACAGCATATTTACACTGCACCATTAAGGGAAATGCCTCGCCTCTCAGTCAGGTGCACTCTGACTTCGAGGGAAACACCCCTAATTAGTCACAGCAGCAGATTTCTCTTCCCCCCCCCCCCCCCCCATTTCATGAATTTCTTATTTCACACATTGTAATGTAACTTTGTCTCATCCTACAGAAAATCACAATTTAAAAAAAAAACATATTTCCTTCTTCCAGGTCTTGAATTTGGGGATGCCACATTAAGTGGTGTGTATTTTCCAGACATTCACACGTACTTTATGGCTGGTGAAAATAATACTTCCGGGGTCGTTCAGAATGTTGAGCGAGATGCTTCAGAAGACACAAAACATAAAGTGAAGACATCAGAGTCTCCACCAGAGTCAGATAGTGCCTTGGATTCAAGTAACACTGGCAAGGGTAGTGAAAGCTTACCATCATCTGTTTCTGGTGAAAGCCGTCAAACTGCTGCATCTGCTCACAGCACAACAGAACCAAATAGCACCAGCCTGACCCAAGATCAGAACAATTCTTTATCGACATCATCATCGTCGTCAGATTCTGAAGGTGATGACTGTAACGGGGAAGTAAACGATCCTGGTGATGAGACAGAGACACCGCTTAGAAAAAAGCGGAAAATGACAGAACCGGGGAATTCCACGTCAGATTCTCCCGATGCTGACAATTCAGAAAAAGACCAACCTGGCACAGAAGCTTCCCAAAGCAACACTGTAACAAAGTGTAAAGACTTCTTGTTCACATCCACGGCCGATTTGGTTGAGCAGCAGAAACAGTGCCTGTTTAGTCAGGACAATAGTGTTCATGTCTCCCACAGCTTTTTCCGGCTGGTGTACGACGCTGGAAGGTCAGGTGAGTTTGTGGAAATTGTGGGATGTGAGCTGATGATGTGTTAGAAACATGTTAATGCATGAAATATGTTTGCTGTTGATTGTGTTTCTTATTAAATTAAAAAAAAAAAGGTAGTCTTAAAGAAGTTATTACTGTTGTATGAAGTATACCAAACACATATTAAAATTAATTATGAATAAATCAAAATTATAACTGATTTTGATTATCTGGGCTCGGAGGTGAGCAAACATTGACAACTGTACAAAAGGAAGTCATGAGAAGACTGGCTTTGGCAATGCAGAGAATAAACAGCATGAAGAACCCTTGACACAACACCTGCAAACAGGTGAAAGTAAAAATGCTGAGGTCATGTCTCTATCTTGTGGCAGATTATGGATGTAAGTCATGGATTCATACTCTGTCATCAAAGAAAAAATTAGCAGCCTTCCAGCTGAAATGTTACTGAAACATTCTTAGAATACCATGGGCAAAGAAGAAGAAAAAACATCAACATCCTACATAATCTTAACACTAGGAAGAACTGGCTCATAAACAGCATTCTGTCTCAAAAGCTGTGGTATTTTGGCCATGTTAAGTGTCGCGATAGCCTGGGAAAAAATGGTGATGGAGGGCACAGTTTGAGGAAAATTGAGGCAGAGGCCAATGTCCATGAAGGTGGATACAGGACACTGAAAATGTGTTGGCTGTGATGGGGCACAGGGCTGGAGAATTGGCTTGAGAAAGAAAGACATTATTAGGTATATAATGATGAGAGCAGTGCTCTTAAAAGAGAAAACCTTCTTCTTCTTCTCTGCACTCACCAGCTGTAAACTTTGGTGGAAAGTTCTGGTTGTTATTTCACTTCTGGCATGCAGCCCTGTTCCAGAACCTGAATTTTGCGTGTGCATCGGTTTTGACAGATCTGACACATTTGTGTGCAGACTGTTGGTTCCTTACTTCTCAGGCAGATACACTCCGACTTCGAAGGAAGCTCCCAATTAGTCGACTCTTACTACATGCTTTTGGGGAGGCAGTAGGTCTATTCTTGTTTTCCCGAAAAAGGGTCCTGGAACCCACACAGGGGGAGAGAAAACCTAAAAGGGAAGACCTAAAAATACACAGTAGAGATTTATATTGGTCTTGAAACCTTGCTGGTTGTACACACAAAAATCCACTGCTGTCACCATTGGGCATTGAATCTGCACAGATGTGTGGTACAACATTCAGGTCAGTTTGGCTCAGTGGATGATATTTACCATTTTGGTGTGCTTCTGGGTGACTAACCATGAGTTGCCATTATTAATTACAGAAATAAACAGGTGGGGGCATTACGGCTGTAGAATCAGCATTTAATAAATAAATAGCATGCATTGATTGGTGCTTCTTCTATCTCTGTGCTTATTTCTGTGAGTGCAAGTCAGTGCATATTTTTTGGTTTGTGTTTATTGTACACAGTTATTAGTTGTAATTTACAGATTTGAATATGATGACATCATTGTCACTTACAGACATTTATAGACTTAAGCTTTGGATATGTTGTTTTACAGAAGAATCCTTAGAATTCCTTGGACAGCTAAAAAAGAGCAACCCATATGTTTTGAACGAGGTGAGGACTCAAAGACAACTTATCACAAACATCAGAAAGAGACAGTTCTCATTTATAGGTCATAATATGAGAAGAAGGAAACTGGAACATGTGATAACTGGAAAGATCTGTGGAAAAAAGAGACAGAGGAAGACCGTGCAAAAAGATTCTTGAGAGCCTTTTGTCATGGCATGGAGGGATGTTAACACATGAACTGTTACATGCAGTTAAAGAAAGCAAGTTATGGAGAAGCATGATCACCTATGCCAGTTAGAAAATCACTTGATGGTGATAACTTGAAGCTAATGACATCATTACCAGTTATAGACATATTTAGACTAGACCAGCAGTTCTCAACCTGTGGGCCACAACCCTTTTGGGGGTTGAACAACCCTTTCACAGAGGTCACCTAAGACAATAAGAAAACACATATTCACTGAAATTATGAAGTAACAGCGTCAAATTGTTAATGCTTTGGGGGTCACCACAACATGAGGAACTGTATTAAAGGGTTAGGGCATTAGCAGGGTTGAGAACCACTGGACTAGACACTTATAGACTTGAAGCTAATGACGTCATTACCAATAGTGGATATTTCTCTGCAGCATGTATGATAGACCGGCAAGAAGTTATAGACAAATATGTCAAAGAACCTGTAGAGCAGATTGTGGTGACCAGTGATACCGAGGCCAGGAAGACAGCCAAGGCAATGGTGCAGTCCAAGGAATTTGTTTGGGCTCATTTCTACGAATACTCCGATGAAATGGAGCATGCAACACAAGAAAGAAAACAGGTGAAATATCTGTTTGTAGATAATCAGAGTCAGCATCTGTGGCTTAGGTGCCGCCGACGCTTCATGGTGCCACCGACGCTTCATGGTGCCGCCGACGCTTCATGGTGCCGCCGACGCTTCATGGTGCCGCCGACGCTTCATGGTGCCGTGTGCAATTTGGGTATCTAGAGCTGACCATTCAGAAACAATGGCAAACTCCTGAGCATAAATTTTCCTTGAACAACAGCAAAAAAAAAAAAAAAAAAAAAATTCTTTGGTTGGTGTTCTACAACATCCTGTAAAGGACACACAACTAAATATGGTTAGTTGTGTATCCTTTACAGGACGTTGCAGAACCAACCCCAACAGCCACGGGCTGCTGTGTGGGTTTTCTAGGCAAATTTAAGTACAGTAGTTTGCCATTGCTTTCTGTATGGTCGCCTTTCTTGATACCACTGTCGAAACCAACGCAAGGCACATGGCCCACAGCTGGTGTCGAACCCGGCATCCCGGCATTATGAAGCGTTCGCATCGGCTTAGCCACACTACAACTAAATATAGATAATGATGTATCTGTAACACATGTTTTTTGTTTGTGCGTGGGCTGTTGGACGATAGTAGGCAGGTAGGTAGTTGTACCCCACCAGGACATCACACAAGTGATAAACACCTGGTGACACAAAGTGCCACCATGCGGATGAGATCACCCATGGAGAGGTCCCGGAAACCCCCCTTTTCAACCGTAAGGCCATATCTAATGCTAAGCCATATTTATGGCCTGGCCATATTCAGAGCCCCCCGACAAAAGCCAGGGTGGAGCTTCAAATAAAAAACTGCATCCCACATGGGGGCGACTAAGATATTTTTTGAACAAAAGTGTTCCATTGTGTTATATATATATATATAGCAGTTCTTCCTTTTTTATAGCACAAAACCTTTCAGTATTGTAGGGATCATGTGTTGCCCATGCAGCTGAATCCCTTTCTCAACCTACTTTATTAACTCCAAAGGTCCCCTTGTGGATAGACACACTGCCCCCCCCCCCCCCCCAACAAGTATGTCGTAAGAGTCAGCTAATTTGGGGCATTTCTTCGAAGTTGGAGTTCATCTGCCTAAGAGGCAAGGAACCAACAGTCTGCAAACAATTACATCAGATCTGTTAAACAGATGTGCATTCGCCACCCAGGTTCTGGAGCAAGACTAAAGCCCTGAGGTGGACAAACTACCAGAACCTTCTGCCGGAGTTTACAGCCAGTGAACGCGAAGAAGAAGAACTCCAAAGAAAAAGTAACACCAATATGTCTGGAGCAAAGCTTGCTGCAAAAGCTGCCAGATAAGAAAAGCATGTCCAGTTATATGTGTCCCGTCTCATAACATTTGACTGTTTAATTGAGTCTGTTCAAATAGGGCAATCAGATGTCCTAGACTTGATATTTTTTTTTTGTATTGTTTAAATTTTATTTGAGGCTCTCTCTAATTTAAAATCAGTATTGTTGTATGGAATTGGAACATAAAGAAAAAATTACTAATAAATATTTATTGACTGATGCCTGCCTAGTATCCCACCTCATAACATTTTGTGTTACTGGGCCTGTTGACTTTACACCATTGAATCTTTTCAAATCTGGCAATCAGATGTGCTGGACTTGATATTTGTTTCGAATTTGAGGCTCGCCCAGTTTATTGATCCACGCCTTTCTTGGCCAGCTGTGTTTTACTTTTATAAATGTATTTAATGTAGGCAGCAAAATTGGCTTGTGTTTGAACTTACAATGCAAACTGATTGTCGATTGTAATCAATGTAGATGGTACCAAGCCAGTTTTGACAAGTATAGCAGACACAAGCCTAAACTTGAAATATTTCCCTCTAATGTAATATCACTACTGTTGTAAGGAGTTGAAACATGGAGATTAAAAAAATAATATTAAAATGACTTATAAACATTTATTAACTGATGACTCCGTTTGACCTCTTTGTGACTGTTTAGTTGTGTTGTGTTCTTAATAGATGTGTACATAGTTTCATTCCTCAACTGTCTGCCTCCTGCAACCTATAATATTACTTCGAAACACTATTCACATGCAAGACATATGGCATAGTAGGTCTAAGGGTTTCCACCATAGAGGTTGTTTCTAAAAAGTGCTCCGTTAGTCAAAAAAAAAAAAAAAGTAAGAGACCGCTGATCTGGAGGATTAAAAAAAAAAATGGTTGGCTTAAAAAAAATACCCTATTAATGATTTGCACACGCGAATTCAGATTATGTAGAGGATTAAAGTTTACTGCAATTTTCATGTATTTTATATATTCCTGGATTCCTTTATATTCATATTAAAGTACAGAACTTGTGTACTATTTCACGTGTTTCAAACACTGATGTTATTTTAAAAAAACATTAGTGAATGATTTCATGGCTGAACAGTTAAAGTGCATTGGCCTGTGGGATCCTTGTTAGTACTAAGGAGTTTGTGCACTGTGCTCAGAGTCTCAATTAGTGATCTGCAGTATTTATGGGGACATCTGATTGCACTGAAAATTATCATTTACAAACAAGCAAATGGATACAATAGATGGTTTTGTGTATGTGTGTGTGGATATTTGTCCTATTGCCACCTGTGGGTTCCAGGTCCCCACTGTGGAGGAAAAAATAAGAACAGACCCACTCCCCCTGAACAAGCATGTCGTAAAAATAGACTAATTAGGGAAGTTTCTAATAAAGTAAAAGATAAGAAGAGTGCATCTGCCTGAGAGGCAAAGAACCAATAGCCTATACACAAATAAGCCAGATCTGTAAAACGGATATGCATGCAAAACCCAGGAAACAAGACCAAAGTCCAGAAGTGGACAGACAGCGAGAACTTTTTGTGGGAATTTAAAGCCGGTGAATTGGAAGGAAAAGAAGTTTTTCCTGTTGTTTCTTCAAATCATAATGTTGCTTACTTGAATTGTTTCATCATTTTTTGTTTCAGAAACTAATGCGAAAATTGGACAGCCGTGTTCGCAGCATCATGAAACGAATGAAACCAAACACACTAGTTGCTGTGGTGATGACAGGAAGGGACAGCGATGAAGTGCCTCAGAACATGGCCGCGTTTGTCACCATAACGTAATATTTATGTTTCTTAACCAGACTGTTAATTCATTTTTAAGTCTTATAATTTTTTATGTTACGTTGTCACCACAACGTAACATTTATGTTTCTTAACTAGACTGTTCATTAAGTCTTATCATTTTATGAATCTTTTAAATAAAATGATTACAGTTGAAACATAGCATTCTTCTTTTGTCTCATAAACATATGTATGAAAGAAGCAAGCCGTTGTATACAACCGTCACTATTGTCTTTGCCACTGTTTTTAAGGTGGTGTAGACAGGGAAGTCGTGACCATGAAGTTTTAGGACCGCATGGCTAGTGCTGTCGCCATGGACTGCAGGTTAGGATGATTAATTTTGCCCTGACATTATTATTACTTTACCAGGGGGTCAAACCCGGGTCTTCCGCCTGAGAGCCTGATGTTGTAACCGCTCAGCCAGCAGCTCCTCTCTTATGTAGACTGCAAAACTTGGCACAACAGACTCCACAGCCATATGTAACAGGAAATTCAAGATTGGGAACTCAGAATTGTAACCATATGGACAGGCAGCCAAGAATACTAAACTTGTGCTGCAGATATACTCTTTACATGCAGTAGAGAGATCCCACGTCTGGCTGGTTGGCGTTTCTTTGGAAACAAAGCTGTTTGGATCAGTGTAGGACATGCCTCACACCCACAGTCTTTGAAGGCGGATGTGGCCTTATAATCTGAAAACCACTTGCAAGAAGAACGAAAAGAAAGAAAGAAAACCCTATGCGTAGATAATTTGGGATGCCAGGTTGGATGTGTTTTGCTAATTATGATCTTCCATTGTTCTATGTTTTTAGAAATGCTAGCTGTAAATCTGAGGCTCTCATGAGAATGAAGGAAGAAATGACTGCAGAAAGGATGAGAGCTGAACGTCTGAGAAGAAACGGATTAAACACAAATGTTGACAATAGCAATTCTGAAATCCCATGCTATAATTGTGGAAGACTTTTCATGGGCAGGTCTGGCTAGTCACACTTACCATCGCCATGGATGGTGAGTCACATGCCTCATCAGTGCAAATATAACACTATCGTCTGGAAATATGGAAAGGTGCCAATCATTTATTCAATCAAACCTGAGGCAGTCCTCATGATTGATTAAAGAAATTAGAAATAGATGGTCAGTATTTTTGAACATCTTAGAAAAGCCATGGACTCAAAAACTTGATTATAACTGACATGATTGAAGGAAATTAGCAAGATTTCACAGAGAATTCACAGGTGTGCCTTTGGCATAATTCAAAGTGACTAGTAACAGCCCAGAAAATGTACTTTGGGGAGAACGATCAAAATTGCAGTTTGTGACTGGTGTAGCGCCAGAGATATATATCCTAGCCGGGAAATAACCAGGGCTTTTTTATTGGTGGTACACAGTACCGGGACCCTTTGAATTTTTTTTTTCACAGACATTATAATAGAATTTGTGGTCAGTACTAGCACCTTTTAAAGACACTGTGTTTCATTAAGCCATCTTTATTAGAAATATCTTGGTAAATGTTGAGCACAAATTTGGGTTATTTTTCGCATAATATTTGACATTTTTTAATCAATATCCGTGAAAACAAATTGATTTTAGCCCCAAAAATTAATTTTCCTTCAATCTTTAACCAGTATGTACCTACAGGAAGTATGGTTTCCAGCAGATAAAATTAAATTTAGTTTAGGAGTTTGACCTTTTCTTAAACTGTCACATTGATGGCATTTTTCTGTCTTTCCAGACGATAGTGTTATATTGCTCTATGAGGAATTATGGGACTCACAGTCCATGGTGATTGCGAGTGTGACTAGCAAGACCCGCCAGTGTCAAGAAAAGTCTTCCACAATGGATTTCAGGACCATTGTTGTCAACATTTGTGTTTAATTCGTTTCCTTTCAGGCGCTCAGCTCTCATCCTTTCTGCAATCTTTTCTTTCTTGTCTCATTCCTTTTCTAATATGCCCTTTCCACACAACATGGTCTATGGCATTTTGTTCCCATGAGTCCACCTCAATATCTGTATCATTCATATCCCACTTGCACACATCTTTATTTCGTTGTAGAGGTCAGCCTCGACATCTTCTACCTACCTTTAATTTACCATAAAGGACGTGCTTAGGGACTCTGCCATCCTCCATTCTCCAGGTGTGACCCAACCACCTGAGCCTTCGTAGAGGTTCTCACAAGGGAGTGGTTTATATATTTATATAGCTTCTAGTCAGGAAACAAGACTATCTGGGTCTCAGCAATGCTCTCATCAAAGAGTAAAGGGTTTACCTAATAAGCTTATGGGAATAGTTTCTGGATTGCATGGGTGTTAGAAAGGAGTCACTGTGGCAGAGCGGCTAGACGCGCACGGCGGATCAGAAGGTTGTGGGTTCACTCCCTGGCGGAACCGGACTTTTTTCAAAATTGACCTTGGCTCCCTGGTCGACCCAGCCTTGAGTGGGTACCGGGTGCAGTCCTGGGAAGTAAAGGTGGCCAGCGTGATGCTAACCACATCACCCATCTTGTGCCGATTGGTCTATAAAATATAGGTCTAGCCCTATATGCCTAAAAGGTGTGGAAAAGGGTCCTTTACTTTATTTATGGGTGTTAGAAGATGTGTTATATTCTCAAGTGGCAAATCATTTTTTGTTTTTGTTTAAGGATATAGTTTAGAAAATGTGAGTCGGACTCATAATTCCTATGTACCGCAATCGAAACCCACTGCTAGCTGCATGGATTTTTAATCATGGTACAGGTCCACACAGCCTAAAGTGGGTACCAGGATGTATGTCCTGGGGAAGTCAAGAGAGCCGGCGTAATGCTGACCACATTACCCACCTAATGCCGATTTGTCTGTTAAGATATGGGTGCTCTTCCCATATGCCTAATGTGTGAAAAGGGATCTTTATTTTCCTACTCACTTAAAAAAAACAGTTTGTGGGATATGACCACTAATCTCTACACCAGGTTCCAGACCATTCTCTTTATAGGACAGCTGAAGAAGAGGATTATAGAAGCTATGCAAACTTCCTTCAACTCTTTGAGTCCCAGAAGGTTTAGCATCACAGGCTCAAGAGGTAGTTAAGAGAGACGTAAAATCGGCACATCTTGCATTTACTGGGCTTCTAGGTAGGAACCTATGAATGTATGATGCTTTCTGTGGGATTCAAAGAGTTAATGAGGAACGGCATGGAGAGACTAACAGACAAGTGGACTAGGCTGCCTATGGCAACTCTGTCTCCCTAAACCAAAACACTTTTCTCAAGCTAAGAAATCTCATGACAGTGCCAGTGGACAGCAGCTCCCAATGTAACAGCCAGTTGAGTTGAGTCAAGAATTGACATCACAGTACTCAGGGCATTCCCATGCATGCTCCGTCCTCATCTTCAGCAGCCAATGCAGAGTTCCAATACTGATGGTACCGGTCACAATCTGGTTATATGTCCGTCTGGCCTTTCCTCTGAGTGTAGTGAGCCTGCTAGACCCTCTGGTTACACCCAGGGGCCTCATTCTCTCCAGGCTGTAACAGCGAACAGACCTAGAGCAGAACTGATACCAAAAAATGAAATGCGGACACTAAAATCACAATAACTTACTATTAAATGGTTTTAAATGGACTGTATAACAGGAAACTGCAGGCTTGTCTATGGACATGGAAAACTCAGATGGCATAATACATTAACATGAATAGATTACTCTGGTAGAGACCCTAAGTGTCAATGGTCAAGTGGTGGAATGCTTTTATGACATAGGAGTTAAATAAGATGAAACGATACACTAGCAGATTTGATTAAACTGAGCAGCTTACAAAGGATATAAGTTAACTAAACAGGGGGAACTTGAAGCTGGCATATTGTGTTGTAGTTTACAGCTAGGTTGTGATCAATCTACGAGCCCAAGGTCAAATTTACAAAATCCAGGCTAATAAGAGTCAGGCAGGCATTGATGGTGTGTGCTGACACATATATACAGATAAGGAAGAAATAAAGTTTACTTGCTCAACTATACTCTTTAAGTAGAAACCTCATCTGTTTATTGTGTACTATCTGACACATGAAAATTACAAATATGACATGAGGAAATGAATCACAGAGCTGATAGCTATGTAAAATGAATTTTATCACAATCTAAAAAAAGGCAAATGTTAAAAATAAAATTGCCCCCGAAAAAGGAATTTTCACTCCATCCATAATGACTGCAAAGTTGTATTTCTAAATTACATCAAGGGACAGACAGGTTAATAATTGCCAGAATATTACAATGTGTAAATAACTGATTCTAAAAAATTCTCCTTGATCATATACTGAATGAGGTATAGCTAATTACAGTGTGTGATACGGCTAACTAACTGATAGCTATAGTGTATTATACAGCTGATAACGTCAGTGAATTGTACTGCTGACAACTATAGTGAATTTTACAGCTAACTGTAGTGTTCTGCACAGCTTCTTTTTCTTCTCTTCTACTTTGTACCTCATCGAAGTGTTGGGGGGAGATGTAACATTCATTGAGCTTTGTCAAGAGCACTATTAACACTGATGTTCATTTCTGTTAGGCTGTTCTTAATGCCATCATTTAATCTTTTCAGAGGTCTTCCACTCGCTTTATACCGGTTGTAATGTTTTAGTGTGGCTCACTGTGGCAGATTATCGTATAATCATTATGATCATGTAACACTGCATGTCGCTGGGCCACCAGTTGCTGCTGACCGTTTGATCAGCTCCCTCCACCTTTGACGGTCAGATGCAGTGGATCTCATGGTTGCATGTCTAAGGCCTGTCCAGTCAGTCAGTTTCCTTAACAACAGTTCTTTCTGGTAACTTTGCAAGAATCACACTGCTCTGTAAGTTACTGTTTTATCTGGATGGATCAGTGTTTTTCCCTGTTTATTCATGAAGTTGGTCATCTGCCCTGTGAATCATCATCAACACTAGCATGGCTTTCACAGAAATCCCCGTGTCACTACAAAACAATTTCTTCATTAACAAATGTTATCCCATCTCCACAATGGAGACTGGCTGC